GGGGGGGGGGGGGGGATAAAAAGGGTATATGAAACAGTAAGTATGTACATAGTTTATTTGGTTTCAACAGGTAATGTCATCATCAATTCGTTATGAACTTATTGTTTACTGGATGGTGATGATGTTGGTGATGATGATGATGATGATGTATTTTAAAATGATTAAAGACCTATCAACTGTTGAACTCGGACATAGTATTAGACTGTTGATTCATACCATAGTTCAGATTATGAGTGAGTCCTATCTGAAGTACGTAGAAATATCATTATGAAAGCTAAATATAGACTGTTTGTTACATTATTGTTATATTTGTCTTTATGGATACTGCACATATCTAAGAACAAGTTCATAAAAATCTTTTCAATATTTTATTACTTGTTATGAAATATTATATATCGACCTCACTATGACAAAAAGAGGATATCCTTTTGATTAATATACTATTTATAAGTTTGTCAAAACTTGGGATATAGAGGATAAAATCAATATTTCATAAGCAGATTTCTTGTTTTTTATGATATCTTAAACGCATAATTTTTTCCTAAGATTAAGATTTGTTTTTGATTTTGATTTTAATTGATATTTTATCTTTTCCGTCAGTGATACGTACAAGTATCAATTCATAAAATCTAAAGAATTTGATGAAAAACTGAATACGTATTTATATATTTAACGCAAAGACTGTTTGAGCTTGTTTACATAATTTTTCTTGTTAAACTGTTTAACTGAAATTATGTCTCATAATAAAGTTTTTTTCTATTTTCAACATAAGCAAAAGAATGGAGATTACGGTTTGTGTTATGACTTGTTTTCTTTGTGTCTTCACGCTGTGATACATATTTTCTTTATTACAACATTTTGTTACATTTGTATCAACTTGCTTCAAGGTATATCGTTTACTTTAGCGTCTTTCTCGTGTTTAACCGCAGTTGAAATATATCATTCTTCCTCTGTTTTAATAGACATATTCGTTAACGAATTTCTCTTAGAATTTAAAACAACTAAATACTTTGATAACATACGAAACAGTGGAGAACTTATAATCTTGATGTAGCCATGATGTTATATTTTCCAGGATATAAAGCGACATTTCGAGCTGAGAGATATGAACGGAAAACGAATGCCAGCTTTGAAAGTGTTTTCATCCATCCTTCGATATCTGAAAAATCAGCTCCTAGGCGAATGTGCGAAACAGGGTTTTGAAAGCGTGGATACAGACATACAGTGGGTGCTGACAGTCCCAGCTATTTGGAGTGAACCAGCCAAACAGTTCATGCGAGTGGCAGCAGTGGATGTAAATATAAAATAGAATTAAGAAAAAACTATTTTTTGTAAATGATTAAACATATTATTTATTTAAACCAGTATGATTTTCACAAATGAAAGCTGTTTAATTTTTTTTATTTATTTCATTTGTTATACTAAATATAAAAAAAATAATATCGAAGAGACCACCATACAGTATCAAATAGACATGGATTTCACAATTTTTAGCAGAAATGTGGTCGATATAGACTGTTTCGGAACCGAAAAGAATGGTTTCTGGTGGCGTGTGTACTAATATAGTAAAAAATCTATATTTGTTACAGAGAGGAGTAATAAATCTTATAAGAATTTTGTATGACATTTCTTGTACCGACTCGGAGTTATTTTGCCCTTGTGTATTGAAGCTGTGGTCCATATACATATAGTCAAACCTGTATATATTTTTCTATAGTCGCTATAGAAAAATATATACAGGTTTGACTATATGTATATGGACCACAGCTTCAATACACAAGGGCAAAATAACTCCGAGTCGGTACAAGAAATGTCATACAAAATTCTTATTAGATTTATTACACGATCTTATCTGTCGCAAATAGTAAGAGTTTATTTTACAAACGAATCAATTTGCACGTAGAACACGAGTGGATATGTTCGTCCGCGCGATATATTTGCTATGTGATATCAAGCGGCTCGGGTATGATTCCTAAAAACTTATTTTGAACTATAATGTCAGTCAAAATGACATTAAAGATGATGACGTTATGTTACCATAGCATAAAATAGGGTTTAACTATATTGAATCAGGATTTGTTCTATTCACCATTTTGATCAGGGGGTATGTTACGGCACGATTTCTCACCCTGACACGATTTCTCACCCGGGTGAGAAATCGTGCAAAATTGCTGCGTTCGCGACACAATTTCTCACCCCCGCACGATTTTTCACCCGGGTGAGAAATTGTGCAATCTATATGAGCATAGGCGACACGATTTCTCACCCGACACGATTTCTCACCCCAGCTCTATATCTCAATCGGGGTGTTGTCTGATGTTTTTCATCCGGGGTGTTTGATCTTTTCGAATACATTTTATTTTACAACAATAACAAAACTGTTTCTATTAAAAAAATGCAATCCATACATCAGTTAATTAGGAAAAATATATTGCTATAGGAATTACATTATTAGAATCAATAGTGAAGCGAAAACTCCTTACTGATTACACACGCATTCGGTGGGAACAAAAAAGCGCGATGCATTTTTACTTTGGCTCGGATAAACAACGGATAAACGCGTAGCTCTGAGAATGTCCTGCAGGTACATATGTATTATGTATATTACTATGAATCCGAAATAACACTGGAAAATCAACTTATCAACGTTGAATGAGAAATATAAGCTACTGATTAGATGGGAATACCGAATTGATAACAACACGAAGTCAAATTTGATTTAAAGTGTTTTGTAAATAAAGGTACCGTTAGCAAAAAAACGTATCCCCAAAATATAGACTTTCTTCCTTTCATTCGAAAGCTTACATATGCTGCTTGTTTCAATCCCTTGTTTTTTCTGACGTCATCTCTCATTTTTGGAATAGAGCAGAGCTTCTTTAATCTTGCCTAAGTGTACATGTAATAGATAAGCTTACATGATATCAAATTACGAGATGTTCGATGTACAGCATACCTAATATTGATTGATTCATCTATCAATTTTTTCATTCATTCACGTTTGAAATACGCAGCAGAAGTCTTCAAATATCTTCACATATTCAATTAGACTATGAAAAAGATATTGTTGCTCGATTACGTGGTATGTAAGAATCAATAATACGTCTGTCCAACTTGTTCATACACACCTGGAACGCATACGCGTGCAGCATATAGACACAAACCCACGCACGCAAATACAATGCACATGCGCACACCTTCTTAAACACATTAAAACGAAATATAGTTCACCTCAATTGAGAGAGAATTAACACTTCTTAAATAACAATACATTGTACCTGTTATTTATTTATTATTTATTTATTTTCGAATCAGAAGAACTGATTTTGTTTGAATTCCACTGGAGATATTCGAAACATAGAAAACAAATTTCAGCACATTTAGGCGCGCAATAAAAAGTATAGAAAATATGTAAGTCATATCTAAAACAAGACATAGTCAACAATAATGGCAAGATTCGAATGACAAATACACTTAAGTAACAAAGAACACTAAATTTTTACACAACATGAGCTTACTAAAGCAGAAGTGAAATCAGTTGCTCTAGATGAGTACATGTACATACATTTCATTTTTTATCATAAATGAGTACATGTACATACATTTCATTTTTTATCATAAATGAGTACATTTTTTATCATAAATTATAACAATATCTAGTTGTAACATGGACCGTTACTTAAGGCGCCCATACTAACCCTGTAGTCACATTTTTTTTTATCACAATGCCATAACACATCTGCATACAGAATCTGAACAAAATCGGTCAATATCTAAATGTCAACCAATCAGGACCCGACCTAACACGGAAATATTATAAAATCAAAAAGAAAATCAACGAAAGCCACGGAAGTGTTTTTAGTGTCATTGCTAATTTTAATACAGAATTTAAGACATATAGGACACTGCATAATTGAGACTTTTTCAAAGCTATGCTGCAACAGCCATTTTGCGGTAGATGTTGACTTTGTTTTTGCCATCTTCAAGAATACCATCAAAATATTAATTTTACCAACCTATATTGCAGTTCATAAAATAGAACAGAAATTAGGAAAGTCTAGATACAATGTTTATGTCTCAACAAATGAGAGGCCATGATTTCGGTTTGTTCGGAAAACTGATAGTATTAGTGTCTGCGCTAATTTCACTAAAGTGGGGGAGGGGGATTTCAATTTTCTTTTGGTGAGGTGTAGACCTACACCTTATCACAACAAAAACACACATTAAATTCAAATGAGTATTTTGTTCGTTTTTCGTAGGAGCATAAAACTGAAATTCTAAAAAAGTCAGATTTTTTCCCAAAAGAATGTTGTCAAACTAATAACGCATTGAAGGATCATTATTTATGCAACCAAAACTACGGTATACATGTAAAAATATATTGATATGGTCAGTTATCAGATATTTACAGACAAATCAACAGCCGGAAGCCATCTCAAGTAATGATATTCCAGCCAAAAATGTGTTCATATTAGAATAAAAGTAATTTACAACTTTTGTATACCAAATATATTTTGATTATAAAAGGACTAGGCCATGAACTACCGGTTACAAAAATATCAATCCAAAACATGTGGTGGAAAATATTCAAAGAGGGGATCAAATGCCCCTATGGTCTAGACATCAGAATTCATGGCTTTGTGTATAGTCTATACATTATGACTGAAACTGACATAAAAGAAGGTAAGATTTGTTCCAGTTTAAATGGAATGAATATGTAATCAACAAAGAACATGTTTCGAAAATATTTTTTGGTTTATTTCTTTTGAAGACGGCCACCAAAACATTCATTCTACTGCCTAATCAGTTGTCAGAGTCCCAAACAATTTTCTCGCAATATAAATGGTATTCATAGATTTTGCGTTTGTTCGATATTTTGTTTTCATATATTTATTAAAGTTTTATGCCGTATTAACAGCTGATGACATTTACAGATAATGTTTTGCAACACGCAAGAGTATGATATGTGTTCGATGGCAGACTTGGAAAAGGAAGAAAGAAAAACAAAGATGCGAGGTTTTGATTTTTTTTTAAACTGGTGATTCTAGATTCACAAGAAAACAACTTGTTTCAACTTTGGTACAACTGTTTTAGATTTTAAAGAATCCAAAATGGCCAAGATGATAATGTATATTTGATGTATGAGCACACATTCCCATAGTTCTTTGACCAACTGGGCATTGGCAGTAGTAATTTTTTATTGGATTATTATCATTTGGTGTCGTAATGTACTGAATCCAAACATTATATTTAGTCTTGCTTTTGTGTCTGGAACAAATTTGGCAACAGATAAGGTCTTGATAGTGCTGATTCACCCATATTTTATAATCTTCTGACTCTGCTCATATGGAGAGAGCTGGTTGTTTTCACCCTCTGAGCCAAAGAGTTTGTTTCTGTGAGTAGAATCTTCATTTGATGTGCGAGTTCTCTGTCTTTTCTGTCAGTGTCCGGTGATCTTTGATAAATTGGTTCCCGTATCCAATTGAGACATGCAGTCACAATCTTTAGCACTCCTATAAATATATCAATGAATAATTTGATATCAATTGAGTTCAAAAAACTATCCAATGCTTAATACGGCAATGAAAAGACTCTACAATCCATAGGGATTTAGTAACTGTTCTGTCAATGTTAGCCTGTAGATCAGAGTATTGTCTCTGACCAGTCTTAAAATATGCGTGCATACTGGTATTAATACCAGATACCTCTAACATTGGCAGGACATCTCTAAAACTACGACCAACGACTACATTGGCGTCTTGCTCCAACCATTTGAGCTTGTCTATGATTTTTTTTGTAATGCTTGCATCATTTTGGCTTCAAGAGATTGATCATACTGTGTTCAAAATGTAACCATACGGGTGAGTTATGCTCATGAATTTAAGATAATGATTCTCCTTCTGGCCACCGTAAGACAGCCCCTGAAGCTTATTGAGAGCACCCTTTTAAATATAAAAATATATGGGCCATCTAGTATGGCAGTCACTCTGTCTCACAAGCATGTTTCTGAGAATACAGGATTGTATGAAAATATGTTCCCTACTCAAATGGTCAGGACGGAGGAACACTGGAACTATAGATTTATTCAATGATTGTACTACAGACTGAAAGGTTTTTGGAATACTAGGCAGAGAAATGTCAAGAGCGGAACACTTAATTACCAGAGATATCAGTTTTTATCTTAACCCAAAACAGTAAAAGAGCATTTTGTGCAGTTTTGGTATATACTGAAGAAGAAAAAAAAAATGGCAAATTACATATGGATTTGGAGAAACTATTCTTTAACCAACCTGTTCTAGCTTTGCAGCCAGGGTCATCCAAGAGACAAAAATTGATGTACGACACTTCTAAAAGGTCACCAATTGTTTCAGATGACCATTTTCATGATTGAGAGTTCAAAGACTCTCTTCTTTATAGGATAACCTGTGTACAAGGGTTTAGGTCATTGCCAATAAGATGAAATTAATTCATATTGTTAAAACAAAGAGAACATTTTATATGTGAACAGGATCCGTAAAACAGGTCCTTGATTGTTAAGAAAAAAATACTACGAGTGGTTTCATCATCAAAACGTTCTGTTTCAAATTCTTTTTAGTCCCTTTAAGTCAGTATATCCAAAAGCCATTATATATTTTATTTTTACATTTCGTGTACCTTTACATTTACGAGATTTCGCGAAGATAGGATGGCGACCTTCACCAATACAGTTACTCTTCATTATGAGATGAATATGAACAACTGAGTATGAAATATCCCCTAAAAGCAACGTAAAAACGAAAAGTCTGATGATAAAATGTATAAAACATTATAACAAAATGTATAATAACAAATTCTAAAAAGTGACAAGAAAATTACATTTGATCTCAAAATTGATTGTTAACAAAATGTTTATCAATCACGCCAAGTGATGAAATAACTGGAATTTGGAATTGTTTGTGACCTAACATACACTGGAAGATTTATTGTAGGCTTGCAACAATTTCGTATCCAATTACCTGTAATCAGGTACATTGCTTTTAAGTGGACGCCAGGGAGGTGTCTTATGCCCTCACCTTTTTGGGCACACTGGGTGCATTGTTGTGCGAAATGAATTCTTTCCACCACACATTTTGGAATGAATTTTACAAACATATTTGAAATAACACCACTTATTCATACTATGAAATGTTTTGGTATAATAGAATAATAAGAATGAAAAATCCTATATTTTACATTAAAATTTTCACAGAATGTTCGATTTAACTCACATTCTGGATGATAAATATATTATTACAGCACTACATGAGAGTAAATATCCTTTCCCAAGTAATACGATGCAAAATTACGATTATTTTTCAGAAAAAATAGTTTCAGGCTGATATTCCATTTATCTACCCGCATCCTGTAATAAGGTTAATTAATCATCTCAATAATTAGAAAAGTGATTCAAAGTAATCACATCGGATGTATAAGGGATTGAAAAAAGTTAAAACAACAGCATAAACTTTGTAGCATTTCTGAAACAAAATGTATGAGGTGGCAGGCTCCTATGTAATTTTAACATAGCTGGAAATAGTCCCTTTATAAAAAGCCTAAATATACCACAATTGCCAAAAATCATGATACCGGATAATATGCCTACTCCTAACACGATTTCTCACCTGGGTGATAAATCGTGTCGGGGTTAGAAATCGTGTTGCGAACGTAGCAATTTTAGCACGATTTCTCACCCGGGAGAAAAATCGTGTTGGGGTGAGAAATCGTGCCGTAACAGGGTAACATTCTGATCCGGTTATGCCATTAGGAGGGTGAACTTTACTTATCAATTCATACGTTTTTCAGGCCGGTTTACCAAGTGAGCAGTTGATTTTGGCGCTGGAACCAGAGGCTGCTTCTCTTTTCTGTAAACATCAACCCGTTCAGAGTATGGTGGACGGTGAAGGCAAGAAGATGGGTGTCTTTAGACATGGAACCAAATATATGGTCCTTGACGCAGGAGGTTAGGTCACAAAATACATTATACATCCATGAATAATAACCTTGACGTCAGTTGCTTTATCAGATAGGATTGAGCCAAATACAAACAATAAGGGTATGGTAGTGGCAGTAACTAATGCGAGCTGTCGAGCTGGTGTTTGTTGTGTAAAATTTATTCCAAAGCAAGTGCTATGGCTGACTTGATTAACGAAACGTACAAAAACATTGAAACACTGATAATGTTGTTATTTAAGATTTTGACAACATATATATAAAGGAGTTTCCAACATTCTCGAAAGAACATTTTCGTCCTAAAATCGTTCGACCTAGAACAGCTTACTAGATGTGAATATTTTTGTATGAAAAGATCATTTTCAGAAATGTTGAAATGTTTGTGTTTATCTTTAGGTGGAACAATTGACGTTACCGTTCACCAAGTCCAAAAAAACGAAACAATAAAGGAAATCCATAAAGCAAGTGGTGGAAACTGGGGAGGTACCAGCGTTGATGACGAATTTGAATCCCTGCTGTCTGATATAGTAGGTGAACAAATATTCAGGGAGTTTAAGAATGACTCCGTAGAGGACTTGCTGGAGTTGTATCGCAGTTTTGAAGTGAAGAAAAGGTCAATATCAAAAACAATGGAGGGAAAGATCACATTCACTGTTCCGGTTAAACTACTGGAGATATTCCGGAAACACCATCCCAATGACAAAATGGACAGGTTCATAAAGGGCAATCCGAAATACAGCTCTGATGTGATCTGGCGTGGGGACAAACTTCGAATGTCTAAGGCGCTCACAATCTCCCTGTTTGATCGATCTCTGCGGAACATCACTGATCATTTAGACCAGATTGTATGTCATCCAAACGTCCAAGACTTATCAGCCATACTTATGGTAGGCGGATACTCGGAATGTCCAATACTACATGACGCCGTGATAGAGAGGTTCCCAAACCTGAAAGTGATAGTTCTACGAGAGGCCGGCCTGGCTGTGCTGAAGGGAGCCGTCATCACTGGTCACTGCCCAAACAACATCGCTGAAAGGATATGCCGTTTCACTTACGGAGTTAGTTGTAGAATGAAATTCAAAGAAGGAGTTCACAAAGAAGAGTACAAATGTATAGATGAGGACGGTGACACCCGTTGTGGAAAACTTTTTGGATATCATGTCTCAGTTGGCGATTCTGTCACATTAGGAAAATCATGTCAAAAACACAGATATCGTGTTATGCGTTCTACGGATACGTCTATAACCATCTATATACATGCGTCCACTGAACCGTCACCAATGTACATTACAGACAAGTCTTGTCAAGAACTAGGTTCCCTGAAAATCAGCATGCCCGACACATCCCTAGGCAGAGACAGACAAGTCGATGTTTCCATGACGTTCGGTGGCACGGAGATAGAGGTGGAGGCCGTAGACATACACACTAATGAGAAACACACTGCTTTCTTTGACTTCCTTGGATAATATTAACGCAATCATCACAAGGATCACACGGTGTCATGTAACTTCAGCGATGGTTAGTGTTAAGCTGGCACAGCTGATGAGATTTTCCTCAGTTTTTAACTTTCACATACTGTAACATACATGTACATCTATATTTTCTTCTCATCCGATTATCGACTTGCATGTGATCCATATGGTAATCGAAGGTCAACACGACAGGTTATTGTGGTCAGACTATAGCTGCGTTTACTTTTCATATATACTGATCTATTGATGGTGAACAATGCAAGATCAAGAGATAGGGCCGAATACAAATGCCCACTTTTTCCTTAATTGCAATAATTTCATTGATATGTAGTCGCTAATGTAATGCAATGTAAAACTGCTATGTTATTGGGGTTATAAATACAACGTTTTAAAAACCATAGGAGAAAACGACATTTAACAACAATGGTATTAAGTCGATACTATTCTGAATATAAATCTCACTAACCAGGAACATGTCTTTGATTTCGATTATCAACTGTTTTCTGTGGTTTTGTATTTATCCAGAGTGAATAGATAACATTGTTTGATCTTGTCTGCGTTGAGGCCATCGCCTATATCATTGATAACATCTATTTCTGGCAAGGAACATTAAAGGTTAATTATAACTCATTACACAAAATATCAATCTTTATAAAACATACTTTAAACTGGGATGTTTTTTCGATGACGTATTTGTTAAAGACTTACAATAATTTAAAAAACTATATATAGTTTGCCAAACAAAGAGAAAAACTTTACATAGGGCCAGATTAAATGATGTTATTTTTCTGGGTTCTTCGTACCCTCGGGACCTAGTAATTATGAATATATTTGGTTTTCATAATGCAAATAACCTTTAAGATAGCATTTCTAAAACATAATTTGAGTTGAACGTTAAGGTTACATGGTAATGTTTTCTAGTAGTTCGTCTATATTTTTTTCTATTTATACTTTTAACAAGACATTTGGTCAGTTCAAAAGTTTTGTCGAAGAGGGCAGCGAATGTTTATGAAGAGAGTACCGTAGTCACTAGATAATAAATAGAAAATACAAAGTCATTGAACATGTTTGTTATAAGTATCACCGTCTTCAGTCTAATTTTATCCTCTTGATCGAATCGAGCAGGAACAACATTACTACAAAGCGGGATTCTACTGCGGAGATAGTCAGAAACGTGTTAGTTATTAAGTTACAGTTAGGGAGTTGAGTAGTTAAGACATAGAAACAGGGTTAAGTGATATAGGAAGAGCAATAACTTACCTCCACCCCTCCCCCCTTTAAATTGTGGTAAAAAATATTATTCTATTATGGCCCTTTCCCGAGGGAACTGTTCTCTTATAGTGTTGTCTGGGGAGGTATAGTGCCCGAGCCGTTAGGCGAGGGCACTATACCTCCCCAGACAACACTATAAGAGAACTGTTCCCGAGGGAAAGGGTCATAATAGATTTAGTACATCACATGACTGTACTAACTGTGACTGCAAATTGTGTCGCCTGCTTCGTTTTCATACATTGCTGAGCCTCTGCAAAGCAATCGGCATTCCCGGTCCCGAATCTCGAAGCCATTTTGGCAGACGACAACAATGAACACTTGTATATTTTGTAGATATTTACATGCATTTATATGATTACAAAATACTAAAACAATATCATTAGTCAATAATGGTACAGATTTGGACGAAAATGTATAGGTATGGAAGTATTACTCCACTTTTTTCGAACTGACTTGAAATAACGGTGTTTTTTTTTCAAATATATTTTATTGATTAAACAAAAGGATTGACCAACAGGCTTTGCCTATATAAGCTCTCTCCATGGCTTCCAGCATACTTTTGATATTTGAAGACATTGAATAATAATAATAATAATAATAATAATAATAAACTTTATTTATTGAGGATACAAAACCTGTTTAGCAAAGCTAATCTTCCACAGGGTCCTCTGTTAGTAAAATTGGTTAGTTAAAAGACAAAGTAGTATCACAGCAAATAAATGTACATAAAATAATTGTTGGTCTACTAAAACAGCAATTCATATCACGGTTCTTTCATAATTTAAACGGTCGTTCAATACAATTACAATAAAATTATCACAGAAGCACGAAATATATTCCGTGCTTAACCCATTATGGTTTTCATTAAAAGACAAATTGTCTAATTTACATATATGCTAATGTAGCCAAAGCTAAAAATTGACAGAATACACGCTAATATAGAATACAATATTTACATACATACATTTTATTTTATTTCAACTCATCTCATGACACATGGATACATTTATTGCTAGGTAATATACATTTAATTAGGCTGGCTTAATATTTTCATGTTTCTACAGAAAAAGAAAAAAAAAAATCCTTGGATTTTTTTTTACAAACTTGCGATATTGATATTTAATATAGTTGTAAAATTTGTGTCAAGAAGAATTAAATATACCATTATGAATATACACAGTATTCATATCGAATTAAATATATGGATATACATCTTGACCTTGAGCAACTAAAATTTGCTACGGCAACATGAAATAAAGCAAAACTGATACATGCATGTATGCTGATAAAGAAATGTACCAGGACTTATTTGAAGTAGACATGTCTTGAGATGAGTTGGAAAATCAAATAGAAAATTAACTAAAAGAAAACAGAAAAAAATAAAAAATAAAAAAAAATAAACAAAAATAATATGAAAACACAAAAAGACATAAATAATTATATAAGAACACAAAATAATCTCAATCACTCACTCATACACTCTAACACCACATTTGTTTCTACTGGCATGGGTTTGTTGGTTTATTTAATGTAATTTATATTTGTTTTAAATGAATGTGCAGTTGGGCATTCAATATGATAACGAAGTACACCAGTTCACAGGATACAAATATGTGGCATTTTGGTATTTCATAATAAATTATTAGTTTTTCAATATTTAAATAAATTATAACTATTGATTTACATTATTCCATCATACCTTAAGTGTCATGACCACATAAAGTTCCTGGAAATTTGTTGCCCTGTGATCAATCAACCTTATATGTAAATATATATATTCATTATCCACTATCAACAGAAATAATGAATTTATCTTACAGAATACGAAGAATACACCAACCACATACAGCTTGTATATTTATCTATTTAAACCGTCCTGTAGCATTAATGTATTTATGCACACACTCCATCAATTGATTGTTCTGTAAATCACTATTACTAGTGTTTCCATTTAGAATAGTACTTAAAGGTATTGTATTATGGAAATCTTCATCATTTAATATAAGATCCTGCATAAAAGTTTGTCGTTCTTCTGTATAGAGAGTTAAACGGTTAATTGTTATAGATAGCAGTTAACATTACAGCATCATAAATATGAGGTGGTTTCACCTGCTGTAGATAGGTTTACCGCTATAACAACATATGCGAACAATCATACTTTCCTATTCTACGTTGTTCCTATTCAGGTTTGTAACTATTTATATAAGGTTTGTAAAACACCCCTGCAGGTTGGGGATCGGGAAAAGAATACACCTGCTGTTACCCAATGCATATATCGTAGGAGGCGACTAATGTCGGAACACCCTGCAGAATTGGGGATTTGCTTTGGTGTCCTCTATTTGGGGACACAAAAGCAACTAAAATAAATCTGCTGTGCCCATTGCAATATTTGGGATCTTTATCCTTCTTTCTACTTCTAACTACCTTTTATTTCCTAGCACCTTGCTTGGCTACACCTCACTTTTGGCCTTAATCTTGAGCGTTCGCCAAGGTGAGGAATGTAATGCGAAGAGTTTAAACTGCGGCGAAAATTTTCTTGTTTACAGTACTTGACGGGCCTGAGGTTTATAGTACCATCAACAATGAATAAATACACTTATTATAAATCAACTTTACGGAAAAAAACAACATCTTTATATACTTTTTCTCGTATAAATAAATTCCTAACCTCATACAAACGGCTTCTTTTAGTGTGTTTACATGAAGTATTATACTATTTTGTTGTCTGAAGAACAAAATAAAGGCTAGTATTTCAGAAGGCCATATACATTTGCCATTGATGCCGGTGCCATCTGTTTTACATCAGTGCTTCCTAAACATGACGAATTCAAAAGAAATAAAATTCCTAAATGATGTATATGTTGATATACCCCGTTTCGAACCCTGTTTTTTTTTTTTTATCTACTTTCACTTTACAGTATATGTAGTGTATATTTATCTAATAAATAAGATATTGAGATATAAAAATTCCGTTTATTAAATCATTCAATTTCGCTGTTGATTTAACAGTTTTAAATAGCAGTTACATTCTTGTGCAACCTGGAGGTTTTATCGTCATAATATAGAATTTCCTTTCGACGCCTCTTTCTCAGAAAAGACGACACCTACTGATTGCAAGAACAAATAACGTTCTGGTCAGAGCCGTCCTAGTCAGCCCCGGATTAGTTGAGGGCACCTCACATGTTTTGTACCGTTAGATTGGAGAGAAAATGTAAAATTGCTTGTTGTAATTAAGGTAAGAATATTTCATTTCACTTCCTAAAATCCATAGCAGTTTTATTAATGAAGGAAACACACATTCTTACAAGTAATTGAATTATACATCCTCATTCATTGACCATTCAATGAGTTTCTTTGTATTTTTTCCCCCGTCAAATGATGTTTCGCGAATCTACCGATATCGTGTAGTATAAGATTCAAGTCTAAAATGAAAATGTCACTGTATGCTACATGTGTAATCACTCAAGTTTGTTTGATTGGGGTTTAACGTCCCCGCAACAGTCAGTGTCATACGGGATAGCAATCACTCAAGTAAACCGGTTCTCTGACTGGAATAATAAAACGATTTAACAAGGAAGTTAAAACGACGTTATATTTTTAGATTGAACCCTAGACTTGGACAAGTCTGAAATTTCCTCTATCTATTTTATTTTATTTACCATGCATAAATAGCAACTGATACGAACCGTTTGAAGTTTCCGGTCGCGGATGCTAATCTCCTAATTGTTATCAATGCAGGACAGGCATATTTTTTATGATTTGTTGTGTCAAAATCCAGCCTATTAATTTTGCCTTTTTTCATAACTTTAAACAAATTTTAAGAATTTATTTTATACTGTAACTATTATCTTTTGTTCTTAAATTTTGATTTCATCAAATTACAAAGTTACATATATAACTTTGCTTTGGACTATATTGCACCGTCAGAATATGTTGTTTTGACGTAATTATTGTGTTATATTGTATAATCTTCACATGGTCATCAAACACATTTTACAATGTTTTACTTATCAATAGATGTTTAATTTTGATTAACATGTTAATTCGCATCTCCTTCGTTTGATTTTGAGATTCGTTTTTCTTACGATGTAAAAATCACTGGCGTTGTCAGTTAATGCCATCCTTATAAAAATGTATATCACATGGCTAAACAATAGCCCCTAATGTCAAAAGTCCGAATCACGTAACGGAATTAGGTGTTGCAAATATTCACCAAACCATCCATCCATCCATAACGAAATAGAAAACGATACAGGTTATTAAACACAATACAGTATGCGTATACAATACTAAAAATATTACAATGTGTCTGTTAATCATTTGTCTTTCCTCGTTTTTGAAAGGTTAAACAAGACCCACGCCAAACAAATGATGTTATAGTCACCCATATTTCCAACCCCTCTGATAAATCATATTCAAAGATTCAAAGGTTGCAATGGAGCTTTACATGTTTTAATTCCAGTGAACTATGTTTAGGGAAAAACATCCTTAATGTCTTAGTATTGACTAAGCTAACCTCGCTAGCAACTTTTTAATAGTTAATGTACAAGTTTAATATATTCATATTGCATATATAAATTACGATTTTTAATTTATCGGTAGCATGATAACCACATCCCTACAACTAGAAACTGACAGTTCCATCACATCCCTAAAACTAGAAACTGACAGTACCACCACATCATTACAACTAGAAACTGACACTACCACAACATCCCTACAACTAGAAACTTACAGTTCCATCACATCCCTACAACTAGAAACTGACACTATTACCACATCCCTATCAACCGTCTTTAGATAGGCTAAGTGTGACATGGCTCTATGTCAATATATTTATTAAATCATTTAAAGCACAAAGAGAGGACGCAAAAGAGATGTCTTGATATGTAATAGAGATAACTCATATAATAAGGATAATATAAGTCACATCTATTGTTAACAATTAATATAAATATCTTCATAGGGTGTTAAAAGTTTCGTCTTGCCGTTTTGATTGGCAGCATGACGTCCCATCCTGTTTTACAATACAATAAATAGTTTTTAATTTATATTATTTTAATAAACAACCTATATAGTAGGAATGTCGATGTTGTTATACTAGACCAAAGGTGATTCCTATTAAGTCGAAATTCGCGTAAACTTAAATTCCCTTTTGAGTGTCATTATTATTGATAATGTTAAGAAGTAATTTTCTTGTATACATACATGATATTATTACTTTATTATACCATGAAACAAATGTGTGATAGTAATTAGACACAAGAGAAAGAAATGCATTATAATTCTTAGACAAAAAATATCAACTTAAGTACATCGCAAATGTATTTATTTATTTTTGGATAGGAGATTTCTTTATTTAAAACAATTAGTCTGTAGTTGTCAGCAAGAAAATCCAAAGAGGTTTTTGCTATTAATTAACAGGTATATCTTTCTATCCTGACATGGCAACAAATAATTATTTGTTCTCGGCCGCCATTGATTTTGGAACAACGTACTCTGGCTATGCGTTTTCCACAAGAAATGATTTCCAAACGTCTCCATTAAACGCATCCTGCATGACATGGACGGCGGGATCAGGGCGCCTCCAGTCCCTGAAGACGTCCTCCTGCGTACTATTCAATCCAGATGGGGAGTTTGATTCTTTTGGATTTGACGCAGAGGATAAATACTCTGAACTAGCATTCGAGGATGACCACAAGGAATGGTATTTTTTCAGAAGATTTAAAATGACACTTTACGAACAAGGAGTAAGTATATATTAACTGTCTTGACGACATGTGTGTTGAAATTAATACGTATCATATGCTCATTTCATTCCATTGTTGAGTTAAGCATTGTTTGTATTTTAGTGGCTCGCATCAAATCATCAATATTTAAACAGTTATTTACTAAAGTGAGTATATGTGACGTAACATGTACCTGGAATTTTGTTGAGGTTGTTGACCTAGTGTGAAGTGAAAGGCAATGCTTGACCCGAAACTCAACTAATGGAAGTATATGATTTTATAAACCTGACACCTATAAATTAAATATTCTGATTTTCTACTAGAGTTACTCGTCATACATTGGAGATTACATTTATGTATGTAGTGCTTTACTGATAACGATGTGAATCAACCTGTTTACCAAAATAGGGACCAAGTTCATAAAAAAATCTTTCAAATTATTTATTACTTAAGAAATTTTATATATCGACCTCACTATGACAAAAAGAGGATATCGTTTTGATTAATACAGTATTTATAATTTTGTCAAAATTTGGGATATAGAGGATAAAAACTTATCAATATTTCATAAGCAGATTTCTTATATGTTTGTTATGATATCTTTAACGCATATATTTGTCCTAAGTTTAAGACATGTTTTTTATTTTCATTTTAATTGTTTTTTTCATCCTGTCCGTCAGTGATACGTACAAGTATTAATTAATCAAATCTGAAGAATCTGATGAGAAACTTAATACATATTTATATGTTTAACGCAAAGTCTCATTGAGCTTGTTTACATCTGAAATTGTATAACATCAAACTTCTTGCTAAACTGTTTAACTGAAATTACGTCTCATTAATAAAGTTCTTCAACATAAGCAAAACTATGTTGATTATGGTTTGTGTTATGACTTGTTTTCTTTGTATTTTGACGCTGTGATACATATCTTATTTACTGCAAAACTTTGTTACATTTTTATCAACTTGCTTCAAGAGATATCGTTTACTATAGCGTCTTTCTCGTGTTTAACAGCAGGTGAAATATATTCTTCTTCTAAACAACTAAATACTTTGATAACATACGAAACAGTGGAGAGCTTATAATCTTGATGTAGCCATGATGTTATATTTTTTAGGATATAAAGCGAAATTTGGAGCTGAAAGATATGAACGGAAAACAAATGCCAGCTTTGAAAGTGTTTTCAGCCATCCTTCGATATCTGAAAAATCACCTACTAGGCGAATGCGCGAAACAAGGTTTTGAAAGCGTGGAAACAGATATACAGTGGGTGCTGACAGTCCCAGCTATTTGGAGTGAACCAGCCAAACAGTTCATGCGAGTGGCAGCAGTGGATGTAAATATAAAAGATAATCAAAAATAACTTGATTTTCGTAAATGATTAAACATCCTATTTATTTACAACAGAATGATTTTCACAATTGAACAATGTTTAAGAAACACATTTCATTCTTTGTTATATTGAAGAAAAATATTGCTAAATACAGGTTTGACTGTATGTATATAGACCACAGCTTAAGATTTACTACACGATGATATCTGTCGTAAATAACAAGAGTTTATTTTACAAACGAATCGATTGCACGTAACGCACGAGTGGATATGTACGTCGACGCGATTTATTATGTAATATCAAGACACTCGGGTTATTTTTTTTTGTTACAAGCCCGCAGTTGTTATAACTCCTGCAACATCATTTTGAATTTATATTTCAGGCCGGTTTACTAAGTGAGCAGTTGATTTTGGCGCTGGAACCAGAGGCTGCTTCTCTTTTCTGTAAACATCAACCCGTTCAGAGTATGGTGGACGGTGAAGGCAAGAAGATGGGTGTCTTTAGACATGGAACCAAATATATGGTCCTTGACGCAGGAGGTAAGGCAACAAAATTCATTCTACATCCATGAATAATAGGCTTGACGTTTGTAGCTTTATCATATATGATGAACAATAAGGGTATGGCAGTGGCAATAACTTATGCGAGCTTTCGACCTTATGGAAATATATGCAAATTAGTTTGTTAGACCAAGTGCTATGGCTGACTTGCTTATTGAAGAAAGTGCAGAAATATTGAAACACTGATAATGTTCCTTTTTAAGCTTTTAACAACCTATGTAACACTTTCAAAAGATCATTTCGGTTCTAAAATCGTCCGACCTAAAACGAAAAAGAAATGCCTGCTTACCAGATGTGAATATTTGATATAAAAAAGACTGTTTTAAGAAATAATAAATGTTTGTGTTTATCTTTAGGTGGAACAATTGACATCACCGTTCACCAAGTCCAAAAAAACGAAACAATAAAGGAAATCCATAAAGCGAGTGGTGGAAACTGGGGAGGTACCAGCGTTGATGACGAATTTGAATCCCTGCTGTCTGATATAGTAGGTGAACAAATATTCAGGGAGTTTAAGAATGACTCCGTAGAGGACTTGCTTGAGTTGTATCGCAATTTTGAAGTGAAGAAAAGGTCAATATCAAAAACGATGGAGGGAAAGATCACATTCACTGTTCCGGTTAAACTTCAAGAGATATTCCGGAAACACCATCCCAATGACAAAATGGACAGGTTCATAAAAGGCAATCGGAAATACAGCTCCGATGTGATCTGGCGTGGGGACAAACTCCGAATGTCTAAGGCGCTCACAATGTCCCTGTTTGATCGATCCCTGCGGAACATAATTAAACATTTAGACCAGATTATAGGTCATCAAAACGTCCATGATTTATCAGCCATACTGATGGTAGGGGGATACTCGGAATGCCCATTACTACAGGACGCAATGAAGGAGAGGTTCCCACAACTAAAAGTGATAGTACCACGAGAGGCCGGCCTGGCTGTGCTGAAGGGAGCCGTCATCACTGGCCACTGCCCCAACATCATTACTGAGAGGATCTGTCGTTACACTTATGGAGTGTCATGCACAACGTCCTTCAAAGAAGGAGTTCACAAAGAGGAGTACAAATATATAGATGAGGCCGGGGATGTACTTTGTAATAACTTTTTTAAATGTCATGTTTCAGTTAGCGATTCTGTCACATTAGGAAAATCAGGTAAAAAACAAACTTATACTATCCATAGTTCTACGTCTAAGTCAATAAACATCACTATTTTTGTGTCCACTGATCCGTCACCAATGTATATTACAGAAAAGTCATGTCAGAAACTAGGTACCCTGACAGTCAGCATGCCCGACACATCCCGGGGCAGAGACAGAGGGGTCGAAGTGTCCATGTCGTTCGGTGGCAGGGAGATAGAGGTGGAGGCCGTAGACATACACACTAAAGAGAAACACACTGCCTTCTTTGACTTCCTTGGATAATATTAACGCAATCATCACACGAGTGTGTGAAACTTCCGCGATGATTATAATTAAGTCGGCACAGCTGATGAGACATTCCTCAGTTTTTAACTCCCGCACACCTGTAACATACATGTACATCTACATTTCTCCCTATCCGATTATTGCCTTGTCCTTTATCGATATGGTAATCGAAGGTCAACCTGATAGGCAATTGTGGTCAGAATATAGTTAAAAACTGCATTTACTTTTTGTATATATTTATCTAATTATAGTGAACAATGAAAGAACAGGATATAGGGGCAAATACTGACTGTCATTGATATGTAGTCGCCAATGTAATACAAGGTATGCGTAGAACACATTAAAGGGAGTGGCAACTGCTATATAATGGGGGATATAGATACAACTTTTTCTTCGTGATCTCGTGACATAGTAATTATGAATATATTTTGTTTACATAATGCATATAACATTTTAGAGATATTTTCTAAAACTGGTTTTTGAGTTGAATTTTTTATGGTAATGTTTCCTAGTAGTTCGTCGATATTATTTTCTATTAATATTTTAGACATTTGGTCAGTGCAAATGTTTTGTCGAAAAGGCCATCGAATATTTGTGAAGAGAGTATTGTAGGAACTGGATAATTAATAGAAAAAATACGAAGACAGTAGATCATTACTGTTATTAATATAATCGTCTTCAATCTAGTGTGGTAAGTCTACTTCACAACGTCAGTTGCTTGTTTCGGCGGCTAATTGTATCCTATCAGTCAAATTGAGCAGGAAATAAAGACAGGTTGTCATTGTATGAGTAGCATGTTTAATGTTGCAGCATTTTGAAAGTATCAGCATTTATATAAATAGGGATTCAACTAAAGGATATATATAGGAACGTTTTGGTTGTTTAGTTAGAGTTCCGTAGTTAAAACAAAGGAATAGAGTTAAGGGATGTAGTTAGAACAGTAAGTTAACCCTCTTTACCGAGTGGTATGTAGTTTTATGCTTATAGACAGAGATTTGGGTTGAGTTGGAGTATCTATAGTGAGACTTTGAGTCAATTGACAGAAGACTTGTATATTTTGTGATGGATTTGCTATATAAGTATGTTGTGAATAAAGCAAAATATATAAATGGGTCTATTGTGTTTGTTCAATGGATAGTGAGCGTGTAGAAGCACTGGCCAGGATTGTCAGTATAAGATATTACTAAACAATAATGTTACCATGGTATATTTTAATCAAACGGGGAAGTTCCTTTATGACGGGTACTGCGCATGGGGAAAAGTAAGCGCCATGCAATTGTTTGTACAATAGATTAAAATGGGTCGTTTTTAAATTACACATTGAAACACAAATTTGAAGCATATTTGCGATAGTAAGATTCCCTTAAAGTGCATGCTGTAATTTCAGCAGTGAACAATGCTGTTTCTAAGTTTTTTAAACTGAGTAATAAGATAGTTACATGAAGGTACATATTAACCACTCTGTTAGATAATATGGTAATATTTCGTACATTATTGGGTATCAAGGTGTTACCTTCAAAATTTATTTATTTATTACAGAGTGTTAGAACATGTATCAATAGAAACGAGAAACAAACACTGTTTATGTTTATGACGGTGCTTAATCAGGAAAAACTATGAGGAACAAGAGATACTTAAAACGGCAGTGTTTTGTCGCTGCGCAATTATGAGGTGCAACGGGGAAACATTAGTTTGAGATATGCATACATTTATATGAATACAATATCATTTTTCAATAATGGCACAGATTTAGGCAAAATTTTATAGATCTTATAGTTTTCCACCACTTTTTTTAGAACTGTCCTGAAATAATGGTTACTGGTTTTAGATAGCAGTAAACCGTACACCATAATAAATATGTGGTAATGATACCTACTGTTGACAGTTTGCCGTTATATCAACACGAGCAATTATTTGTTCCCAATTACCGTTGTTGCTGTAAATTCAGCCCTTCACGTGTATTTGCTATATATGGTATACCGTGTGCTCGATATCCGCTGTCATAATAATTTCGCCCTTTTTACAGAAGGCAGTTAAACTTCGGTGAAAATTTCTTCGTTTACAGTACTTGAAAGGCGCGAGATATATAGTACCATCAAACAACGAATGCAATGACTTAACGGTAAAATAAAACATCAGGAAACTTTAAATCTTTTTCGTATAAATCTATCAACAAATTTCATTTTTAGTACGCACACTTCAATGATAAACTCATACAGAGGTCTGTTTGTGTGTTTATAGGGGGCACTATAGTAAAATTAGGTCTTAATCGATTAAAAGAACGGAGTAAAATCAGCTACTATTTAAGCAGGTCATACTGATACAAATATATCTTTATGTGCATCTCAATGTCTGTAAGTATTGTTTCATGAAATATGATAAACTCGGAATTAATAAAAATCCTAAAATGGGACGGGTTTTTTATCCGAGGATAATTGTTTGTAATAAAATTTAAACAAAACAGAAATTATCGAAAATTGATTGGTCTTTGTCAATTTACTAATATTTAATACTTCACTGTATACAAGTTTTGAACAATCAATCTCATATAAAATGCAAAACTTAGTTATTCAATAACAATTTCATCTGGTTTTAATAATTCTGTTTTGTTCAAGTAACTTATTTATCAAATAAAATGTAAAAAAAAAAGCATTACAAACCGTTAAGGATTATGCGATCTTACTCTTTAGTACTGTAAGTATCTATCTCCATTTCACACTGAAATTACTAGATCATTATGAGCGTATATTGGCTATAAACAGAACTGCCCTAACCATTGACAGATCCTATATTGAACCCCATCTTGTTTATCTACTTTCAGTTTACCATACATGCAATGTATCCTTGCTAAATATATAGCATATTCACAAATAACTTTTATTCTGGTATTAATTGTATTCAATTTTCGTTGGTATTTATATGTATACTGATTTATCCTTGTGCACCAATGCAATTTCTCGTTATATTACTTCAAACATTTCCTCTCGTCGCCCCTTTCTCAGAAAAGGTGATAACGTCTGACTGTATAATTAAAGTAGCTCTAGTGATGATACAGGTAGGAACGTTAATGTAACTCTAGTGATGGTACAGGTAAGAACGTTGATGTAGCTCTAGTGATGGTACAGGTAAGAACGTTAATGTTGCTCTAGTGATGGTAAAGGTAAGAACGTTAATGTAACTCTAGTGATGGTACAGGTAAGAACGTTAATATAGCTCTAGTGATGGTAAAGGTAAGAACGTTAATGTAGCTCTAGTGATGGTACAGGTCAGAACGTTAATGTAGCTATAGTGATGGTACAGGTAAGAACGTTAATGTAGCTCTAGTGATGGTACAGGTAAGAACGTTAATGTAGCTATAGTGATGGTACATGTTAGAACGTTAATGTAGCTCGAGTGATGGTACAGGTATGAACGTTAATATAGCTCTAGTGATTGTACAGGTAAGAACGTTAATGTAGCTCTAGTGATCGTACAGGTAAGAACGTTAATGTAGCTATAGTAATGGTACAGGTAAGAACGTTAATTTAGCTCTAGTGATGATACAGGTCAGAATGTTAATGTAGCTCTAGTGATGGTACATGTAAGAACGTTAATGTAGCTCTAGTGATGGTACAGGTAAGAACGTTAATGTAGCTCTAGTAATGGTACAGGTAAGAACGTTAATGTAGCTCTAGTGATGATACAGGTCAGAACGTTAATGTAGCTCTAGTGATGGTACAGGTAAGAACGTTGATGTAGCTCTAGTGATGGTACAGGTCAGAACGTTGATGTAGCTCTAGTGATGGTACAGGTAGGAACGTTAATGTAACTCTAGTGATTGTACAGGTAAGAACGTTAATGTAGCTCTAGTGATGGTACAGGTAAGAACGTTAATGTAGCTCGAGTGATGGTACAGGTAAGAACGTTAGTGTAGCTCTAGTGATGATACAGGTAAGAACGTTAATGTAACTCTAGTGATTATACAGGTAGGAACGTTAATGTAACTCTAGTGATTGTACAGGTAAGAACGTTAATGTAGCTCTAGTGATGGTAAAGGTAAGAACGTTAATGTAGCTCTAGTGATGATACAGGTAAGAACGTTAATGTAACTCTAGTGATTATACAGGTAAGAACGTTAATGTAGCTCTAGTGATGGTAAAGGTAAGAACGTTAATGTAGCTATAGTGATGGTACAGGTAAGAACGTTAATGTAACTCTAGTGATTATACAGGTAAGAACGTTAATGTAGCTCTAGTGATGGTACAGGTAGGAATGTTATTGTAACTCTAGTGATGGTACAGGTCAGAACGTTAATGTAGCTCTAGTGATGGTACATGCAAGAACGTTAATGTAGCTATAGTGATGGTAAAGGTAAGAACGTTAATGTAGCTCTAGTGATGGTAAAGGTAAGAACGTTAATGTAGCTCTAGTGATGGTACATGCAAGAACGTTAATGTAGCTATAGTGATGGTAAAGGTAAGAACGTTAATGTAGCTCTAGTGATGATATAGGTAAGAACGTTAATGTAGCTCTAGTGATGGTACATGCAAGAACGTTAATGTAGCTATAGTGATGGTAAAGGTAAGAACGTTAATGTAGCTCTAGTGATGATACAGGTAGGAATGTTATTGTAACTCTAGTGATGGTACAGGTCAGAACGTTAATGTAGCTCTAGTGATGGTATATGCAAGAACGTTAATGTAGCTATAGTGATGGTAAAGGTAAGAACGTTAATGTAGCTCTAGTGATGATATAGGTAAGAACGTTAATGTAGCTCTAGTGATGGTACAGGTAAGAACGTTAATGTAGCTATAGTGATGGTACATGTTAGAATCACACTGAGAGGTCTGTGGTAAGCAGTTCTATTTAATTGCCATAGTTTAAAAGATATGATTACATATTGAAAGATACGTTTTTTTAAATTTAATTCATTCACATCGCATACGACTCAGTATGTAAATATCACTAACGTTATCAAAGTATATACTGTATAATCACATACCTGAATACCACAGCTGCCACTGTCAAAGTCCGAAACAGATTACGTAATCAGATGATGCACTAAGCCAACATACACATATAACAAAAACTGATAATCGGTAACACTAAGAAAACGCATTTCATTACAATATGTGTATATTTTATAATAAATATTACAATATCGTCGCTTATAGTTTGTTATTAAACATCGCACGTATGTTACAAGATACTGTACGAAATACATTGATGAGTGGAACATTATTGGTTTCTTATAAAATCGCCATAATGACACAAAGCTGACAGTGCCATCAAGTGTCGTAATGTAGTCGATGGTTAATGAAATTAAGCTTATAAAACAGAGCGATGTCTAGTATACAACTAAATACTGCCTCCATGTCTACGGAAGGAAAAGGGAATTCATATCTGGGAACTGAAAGTGTTATCACCAGTGTCTCTAAAATATCAATATTGTATTAAAAGTGTTCCAGGGAGTTGCATGCCTACGTAGGTGGATTTCCCCTACTCAGCAGATATGCATGAGTGATGTAAGTATGACCAGTGTGTAGTTTCAGAGATATTGAATAACGTTTATCGTATTAATTGACAGGTGCATGTTTACAACTGACATGGCCTCAGATAAATATTTGATTTCGGCCGCCATTGATTTTGGAACAACGTATTCTGGGTATGCGTTTTCCACGAGAAACGACTTTAAAACGTCTCCACTAAACGCATCCTGTTTGACCTGGACGGCGGGATCCGGACAGCTCCAGTCCTTTAAGACGTCATCCTCTGTCCTATTCAATGCAGATGGGGAGTTTGATTCTTTTGGATTTGAAGCAGAGGACAAATACTCTGATCTAGTTTTAGAAGACGAACACAAAGAATGGTATTTGTTCAGGCGATTTAAAATGGCACTATACAAAAAGAAAGTAAGTATTTATTAACTCCAAGCTAATTAATATCACATCATCAATAGTTTCATTTTTTGAGAAGAAAATAAAAATAGATGCTTATTACGTTAACTTCGTCTGTAATATTCCGGGGTGGGTGAGTACTGTAAAAGTTGTTGTAAATTCCCATTTTCGATATTTACTCAAAAATACTAATTTCTGAAAAATAATATAGATCCGAAGAATGCTAGAAAATGTATCCTTCCTTACTGTATCACACTGTTCCGTAGCAACCAGACTTTAGTTGGCCCCTAACACGCTGACGGGTCGTACAAGGACGAAACAGCTGTATGATGCAGTGTAATGCCTTTCTGGCATACTTTATGACTACATTTAAAAGCACATTTGTGTGTTTCGTTTATCTCTTTATATCAAATTGACTACAATGATTCCTAATGATAAATTGAAATGACGTTTCAAACACTTTCGAAAAACATTAATTCGTTCACTTTCACAATATAAAACTACCTTGTCATACTGCTATTAAGCAAAAATATAGCAATAACGAAATGAAATGATTTTTTACACAAACGATAGTTTGCGTCTTCGTCATCACCTCCACAAGCTGGACTCCGAAATCTACGACACCACCTAGCGAGCAATAGTTGCATTATTCCCATTTATGAATTGGACAATACTTTGCTTTGATTGGTTAAATTTGGGACGGCTATTTATGAATGAAATTTTCTTACTTCTTATTGCCACTTCACAACCGAAGCCCATTCATGAATAAGTGGCCAATAAATGCTGCAGAAATAGTACATAAGGATGAGGTACAAATTTAGGTCAATAGTAATATTTTAGGGCGGATCACCACATTCTGATACATGTATATAAGTTTGATGTCCATTCTGTCATGTAACTATATCCAGTGTTTGGTGCATATTTGTGAAACAACAGCTGTTACAATAATGTTATTTTTTCAGAATATAAAGCGAGATTTGGAGCTGAAAGATATGAACGGAAAACAAATGCCAGCTTTGAAAGTGTTTTCAGCCATCCTTCGATATCTGAAAAATCACCTCCTAGGCGAATGTGCGAAACAGGGTTTTGAAAGTGTGGATACAGATATACATTGGGTGCTGACAGTCCCAGCCATTTGGAGTGAACCAGCCAAACAGTTCATGCGAGAGGCAGCCATAAATGTAAATACATAAGTGGGAGAGATCATTTTTCGGTTTTCTATAGCATTATGTAAATGATTTAACATTTTATTTATCAAAACCAGGCGGGTTTTAATCACTGATGTTATTAATTTGACATACCGAATGAAACAAAATATCGAACAGACCACCAGACGGCAAAGGATATACAAATTTAGCTGAAACATTGGTAGTTAACGTTAAAACGGTCAATGGGCACACTTGTTATCTTCTTTCAAATGGAAAGTGGTTGCCGTAGACCGCTAATTGAACCACCACGAACGTTTGCTAGTGGCGTGTCCAAATATAGTAAAATCGCTCGGGACCGTTTCGAATAGAGTGTTTAGAGTGAGTTGGTTACTGTAGAAAGATCTGGTTATAATGCAGGCTTGACTGTATGTATACAATTACAACTTCAATACACAGGGCCATAATTTAACTAGAAAATATCTGTAAGAAATAAATGCCCCCGCTCATGGATGGGACGGGACGCGACGGGACGGGACGGGACGGATATGGGCAACACTATATGCACCCCCCCCCCCCCCCGCCCATTTTATGGCGGGGGCACAAAAATACCAAACGCTTTTGTCTGGCACCGAAAAGACACCGCAGACGGAATAATGACGTCACGTTACCAAGGCGTAAAATGGGGTCTTACTATTTGTGAACAGGTTTTGTTTTTATTCACTGATTTCAAACGTTTGTAACGGTATCCATATGCCTTAACATTTGTATTTCAGGCCGGTTTACCTAGTGATCAGTTGATTTTGGCGCTGGAACCAGAGGCTGCTTCACTTTTCTGTAAACATCAACCCGTTCAGAGTATGGTGGACGGTGAAGGCAAGAAGATGGGTGTCTTTAGACATGGAACCAAGTATATGGTCCTTGACGCAGGAGGTAAGGTCACAAAATACATTCTACACCCATGAATAATAGGCTTGGCGTTTGATGCGTTATCAGATAGGATGTTGTCAGATGTGAAAAAGAAGGCATGCCAGTGATAATAATCCATGCAAGCGTATGGGAATGTCAGTGGTTGTTGTATATCACTTGTTCTTAAGCAACCAGCCAGTCAAAGATGATGATTACTTGTTATGGCCAAATGCAACGGCTGATTAGGTTAGTGAAGAAGTGCTCCTACCTAAAATTTAATAACCTATGTAAACGCGTTTCTTACTTTCTAGAAAGAACAATTCCGTTCCAAAACGTAATATATAAACGTGCATATGTGTTTGATTGTTAGGTGGAACAATCGACGTTACAGTTCACCAAGTTCAAAAGAACGGAACAATAAGGGAAATTCATAAAGCAAGTGGTGGAAATTGGGGAGGTACCAGCGTTGATGAAGAATTTGAATCCCTGCTGTCTGATATAGTAGGTGAACAAATAGTCAGGGAGTTTAAAAATGACTTCGTGGAAGACGTGCTGGAGTTGTATCGCAGTTTTGAAATGAAGAAAAGGTCAATATCAAAAACAATGGAGGGAAAGATCACATTCAATATTCCATCTAAACTACTGGAGATATTCGAGAAACACTATCCCAATGACAAAATGGACATGTTCATAAAAAGCAATCCGAAATACAGTTCCGATGTGACCTGGTATGGGAGCAAACTTCGATTGTCAAAGGCGCTTACACTATCCCTGTTTGCTCGATCTCTAGGGGATATCACTGATCATTTACAGCAGGTCGTAAATCATGCAAGCGTCCAAGATTTATCAGCCATACTGATGGTAGGGGGATACTCGGAATGCTCATTACTACAGGACGCAGTGAAGGAGAGGTTCCCACACCTAAAAGTGATAGTTCCACGAGAAGCCGGCCTGGCTGTGCTGAAGGGAGCCGTCATCACGGGACACTGCCCCAACATCATCACTGAGAGGATCTCACGGTACACTTACGGGGTAGCGTGTAGAACGCTCTTCAATAAAAGAGTTCACAAAGAAGAATACAAGGTTGTAGATGAAGTCGGTGTCGCACGGTGTGATAACGTTTTTAAACGTCATGTTGCAGTTGAAGAATCTGTCACTTTAGGAAAGTCCTGTGAAACAAATGGGTATTATTGCGTATCGCGTCCTACGGATACATCTTTAAGCATCAATATATATGCGTCCACTGAACCGTCACCAATGTACACTACAGACAAATCATGTCAGAAACTAGGTACCCTGAAAATGAGCATGCCAGACACATCCAAGGGCTTAAACAGAGGGGTCGAAGTGTCCATGTCGTTCGGCGGCACAGAAATAGAGGTGGAGGCCGTAAACATACACACTAAGAAGAAACACACCGCTTTCTTTGACTTTCTTGGATAACAGTATCTCAAATATTATTTTTCAACGAAATTGTTTCAATGAACAACTGAATCAAGGAAAAAATGGCATCAGTAAATCATTGATTTATGTTATTGACCAAAATAAAAGGATATGAACAGTTTATCCATTCATGAATTATAATATATTTGTTACCCTGAAATAATTACGTGCAAATTAGGAAGATGTGAAACTACTCGTACAAGAGGAATATGGTATCTTACAGGGGGAATATGGTATCTTACAAGGGGGATATGGTATCTTACAAGGGGGATACGTATGCAGTTGACCCTAAAAATGCTGCGTAATGTATAGTTGTTTATATACTTCAGGCAGTGTAAACATATATCGTCAGTATATCAATATGTATCAGTTTGTATCTCAAAGACATTATAGACAATACAGCATGTGAAACCTGACAATAAATGAACTGCTATATATGTCGTGTGATTTCCATCAGTCATCACATCGATTGTCAAAGTAATACGTGAATAACATTAGCGGAAATTAACTAAATATTACATTAATATATTGCATGCACATTGATACAATAGCATGAATTAATTGGTATACATTGTTATGTAAACCTTACTAAATACTCCTGATATTCATCCCATACATTGTTATACCTTTTTATATGTTTTGCATAATGAGTTGTTTCTGGATCAAATTACGGTTACGAGGAAAAACGTAAATTGATGATATTGTGATGATTTTACTTATGCTAGTGAAAATAAACCTATATCAGACAAATTCCCTGTGAATATATTTGTTTGAAAATGTTATCAACATGGTGAGCGAACATCAGTTTACTTAAAATTGAATTGGAGTGATACTTTGCTACTTATATTTTCGTGTATGAATGATGCACTAGTGGTGTCGTAAATGAGGAATCAACGAGTATACTATCTTATTCAAACATAAATACATGTATTTAATTATGACAAAATCAGGATTTTACAATCCTTTGAATTTCTGTTCTAATGTTAGAAAAAAGACGTTTAAAGAGTTGCGCTTGGGTGTGACAGTGTTTTATATTCAAATTGTTTAACTGTTTAAATCCGAGGCTGCATTCGTCCGCTCCTTTGCCATGGTATAACGTTTTAACGGGCATGCAGTTTTTAGTGAAGCGGACGTAAAACTACTCAAACAAACAGGCGAGTACTGTACGTGACTGATACGTATGGAGGCATACATAGTACTTATTAGAATAGTTCCAGACCTAAACTCTAGCCATTTCCTGCTCATGTTAGAAATATCTTCCTTGTAGTGTTATTACTGTACTTGTATTTATTGTAATTGTCATCAAGATTTTCTTTAGACTTGTTCTGTTCTCTGTATATATGTACAAATATTTCTGACTTCAAGGTTTCAATCATAGATCTCTCTTTATTGCTTCATAGGTATTTTTTTAGTTTATTCAGGTCTAGCAAGGCATTAGGTCGCGTGGTTCGGAAATATCAAATATTTTCATTGGGGTTGGTTCAATACCAATTACAGAAAGCGTTAAACAGTTATGCTCCCATTGTAAAAGGGTTATCAAACGATGACAAAGTTAGTATTGAATCACATTGTTTTCTAACTGAATGACCTGATTTGTATGACCACTGAAATAATTCCTTAACAGCAGTTAATAATAAAACGATTGAATATTTCGAGTATGGTTTTCTTTGTTGGTGTTGCAGGATATTGTGTAAAAGCTGTTTTTCGCATTTAACCAGCAATTTTAATATTGTCAGACCTCCAGTGAGAAATGTGACGGTGTGTGTTATGAGACTACCGTTTAATGCCTTCGAGATTACCCCTAAACGATACGAGAGGTCCATATCCTTCTTCTGACGTTGTTGACGACCCAATCTACCTCTTTGGACCGAGCATGGGGGATATCCGAGACCTGGTATTGTTGTGTAAATAGTCCTGAAGCAGTTTTAATACATTGTCTGTTTCTTGTTACTGAATATTTTCACTACTGTTAGTATTTATTGGTATAAGAAACATGTTACGAAAATTCATATGATCAGCCAAAGGGGCTATATTTGTATGTATGAAGATCGCATTCTTGTAAAAGTTCACCATTAACAGAACTCAACATGGAGCCCGACAACATAAAATTGGAAATTTTATAAAACATTAAAAACATGAACATACACATAGTATATACAAAAATGGTTTTACATGTCGTGTAAACCTGCAGGTTTCGGATATTTTCTGTAAATGTTTCATATCAATCTTCTAACATGAAACAAATATGTACTTTTATCACATCCAATTAGTTATGGTGCACGCTTTAACTGTCCATAACATATCTGTTTGTCAACGTTTCAGATTGACAAAACGAGAGTCGGTCATTCTACACATGTTGTTGTTGTTCGATGGTAAGAGTTTTCTCCTCTGGGCTGCTGCCAATATAAGACATATACATTTTTGCCAACCAGTAATGTTGAATACAAAAATGTTTATGACAGAAAAAAAAAAGAACACATGGGACACAAAATCGGTGTCTGTCCTCGTATAAATCTTTATAAATCAACAACACATACACAGACAAGAACTACACAAGAACATAAAATAGGTTGCTCTCATATTGTCATCCCAAAATAGCAACACAGTTATTGACTACCTTACCCCTTCATTTGAATAGCAACCTGTATGGTAAAGATAACACGAGACACCAATGTGACCTCATATGAATCATAAACAGCTTCAAAGAAATTAGGGATGCATGATAAACCATGCCTCGTCATCAGGACGTACCCATCAGGACGTACCTATCAGGACGTACCCATCAGCACGTACGTACCCATCAGGACGTACCTATCAGGACGTACCCATCAGGACGTACCCATCAAGAAGTACCCATCAGGACGTACCCATCAGGACGTTCCTATCAGGACGTACCCATCAGGACGTACCTATCAGGAAGTACCCATCAGGACGTACCCATCAGGACGCCCATCAGGACGTACCCATCAGGACGTACCTATCAGGACGTACCCATGAGGACGTACTTATCAGGACGTACCCATAAGGACGTCCCTATCAGGACGTACGCATCAGGACGTACCCATGAGGACGTACTTATCAGGACGTACCCATGTACCTATCAGGACGTACCCATCAGGACGTACCTATCAGGAAGTACCTATCATGATGTTCTCATATTTCGAATAGGTTCTGGCTTAGTGAATCAACAGGGTTAAGTATGGGGTAACAGAGGTATAAAAATATGTGTAAGCATTAATGAATAATGCTAACAAGGTAAATTGGTAACTAGATTTCTATTGTATGTTGTTTTAAAATCTATCAAAAGACAGAAATAATGATAAAAAACAGACAGAAATAAAAATGTTTTTTAATAGATTAGCATTTAAAAACGTACATTTTACTGAAGAACATATTATTATAGTTATATAACTTGTTTAAAGATTATAATTTTCTCGTCGAGAATTTAAATGCGCGGATACAAATACAAAAACGAAATAAATTTAACTATTACATACAGGTTGGTAGGGATGGGAGCATTGTACAATTTCCTTTTCATTTTTACGGATTATAATGTCCGTATCTGAATACAATTTCTACCAGCAAAACAATATCAAGATACTTAATATGATACTTTAGCCGTTTTTCTCGATCTTTACCATAACGTGACCAATAGGGGTTTCGATTTAAATATCTTGAACTTTCACCTTTAAGCATTACTACGTCCCTTTTCTTCGATGCTAACATCCAACAGTTGATTCGGTATTCAAAAAAATCTTGTTCCGAATATCATGATTATCATTATAGATGTTAACTGCTGACGGACAAACTCACACATCAGTGTTCCAAATATTTATGTTAAAGAAGGCTGTGCGAACGTTTTATGGAAACCGTCATGACCCCATTGCTAAATATGCTATTAGTTTGAATAAAATGAATGTCATTTATTTTGCTGATTTTCATTAGTGTTCCTTTTTTAATTCGTTGTCATTCACCAGGTTCTCGCTATTAAGACGTGAAATTACTTGGATTTGACCAAGATTAACATGGCTTATGACGTTGATAAAGCAAATGATGCTTATGTTTCCGAAACACCTGGTTTAACTCCACTCTTACTTTTCAAAAGCCTCCGTGTTAATCTTTCCTTTGTAATATTTTGCACATTTTTCTTCGATTTAAATTCTAATAGCAGTTTCAGGGACACTTCGATTTTAAAGAAAGATATTTTGCCTATCAAGATAAGGTATGCATGTTACATTTAAAAAAAACTTTGATTGATAATATGCTCGATCATTCGACATAAATAATTACAGTATTATGTTTACATTGTTATAACATCAATAACGTTTAGCTCAGAATTTGAAATGCTAGAGTTATGTAAGTAAGAGCTTTTCTTTTGAGCTACAAAGTTCATCATTTTTAGAGAAGAAAACTTCCGGTTCCGGTTTATCATTGATTTCAATTGGTCGTCTGTAAGACGGAGCTTTAAGAACAAAGCTTATTTTAGTACGTCTGCGCTTCCCCACACACGCGACAATGAGCGAGGCAACGTTGGTGACCGCGAGGATACAGATGAGGAGAATATAACTGGTCCTCTGGTCCACAGCGCTGATCTTATCAGCCTTGTTAGAGGTGACACACGCACTCCCGTCATTGTCTGATGCCGATACAGACGGCCTGGAACCTGCAAAGTAAATACTGCATTATCACACATGATGTTAATAGCAACAGAGGTGTTAAAGTGGTATGGTAACATCCAATAAAACCTATTCTGGTCCCACACCCGATTATCACTCCAGTCACATCTGATCACACACTGGACATACCCAGTCACCGCTCCGGTAACACCGCGTCACCATGGAACACCTGTTTCCAACTTATGTTTCCTTTGTCCATATTTTGCCCTAGTTTTATCGATTTCGAGTTCGAATTATGTTGTTGTTAATGCTGAGACATTTTCTCTCTGTGTTTTGTTTTTTGTAATGTCCTTGTGTTATCTGATACACCCCATCACAATTCATGTCACACCCTGACACAATACTGTTACATTGATGTACCATCTTGTTACACCGGCCATGTCACACCCTGGCACACTACTGTTACATTGGTGTACCATCTTGTTACACCGGCCACGACACACCCAGTCACACACTTGTCACATGCTTGGTCAAATCCATTCACACCTAGTCACGGACACAGTTTACACCTGGTCACACTCTTGCGATCACTTTGGTCGTACTTCTTCACATTATTTTGGCAACAGCTTCAAAGAGGGAAGCAATTTATAATTGAGGCGAAAGCAATATGAAGTCATAATCTTTCTCCTCGTTACTTTCCCCCTGCTTTTGACATAATACACAATCTAATACAGATCTACTTTAAGTATTGTCACCTGTATCTTAGAACCATTTGAATAAAGTTTTATTTTGAGGCCATTCCTTTATTGAGCATTTGTACTTGAACAAAACATGATGTCGATGTTAAACTACAAATCGAATTAAACATTAAATACCACATCAGTTTCTATATAGAACACAGAGGTTAAACAGGTTTAACAACCTCTGAAGTTTTACAACTGTATATATAAGATTACACCAGCGTTTGTCGTGACTTTGCTTTGCTAGCCCTCTATCAGTCGTGTGTTAGTCTAAAAACTAATCACTCCTGCAGACTCATACCCTCGACAATTTCCGTTCCTTCCTTACGGCAATGAGGAGACAGGATTGTAGTTTGCAACACTTGATCGATCTGGCATGCCCAGAAGCACTCCGGACATTATGACAAACGCAATATCGGAGGTGCAAACGGAGTGAACATCTACAATTGTCTCCAGAAATACCTCCGATGGAGAAATAACTTTAGAACCAATTTAAACTTAACTGTACCTAAACGTGTCGAAAGACTGGTATTATCAGTCAACTTTGTTTCAGTGGCTGGTCTGTAATCTCCACAGGTGGGAAATCCCACGGGTAGAGCTGGCATGTCGGTAATCTCTCCATCCTGCAAAACCAGGGTCATTCCTGCTGTCTGATGGACTTCAATATGGCAGTGCAGGAACCAGTAACCTACAAATACATAAACAAAACGTTTGCGAATATCGTTAAAAATGTTGATAGTCTTCTTGATATCTTCTTTAACAGTTTTATTGTCTATTGTCGCATCTAATAGATTAATGTGAACAACATGTTAAATAACGACCATTGATACTTAATATAACTTTCTCGAGTATGATATACATAGTAAAAACTCAGACGACATAGCTGGTGCATGTACAATTTAATGTTGAAACAGATGCTTGGAACACTATATATTGATTTCTTACATGCTCATGTATAGGAAGCACTAAGACGTCATAGGTGGCACATGTATAACCTTAGAGCAGATCAATTCAAAACGTCACTTCTTGTGGCCACGAATGAGGTACGATTTATGTCAAATATTCCACGAAATCTGTGTACTGAGTGATTTTGATACACATACCCGGATTGTCTGCAGTCATACGCATGACAACATAGCCCTGTCTGGGTATGCTGACGGTGTCCTTCTGGGGAGGATTGTCTAGATTAACGCCTGGGACATTACCAAACTGCCACGAGGAGTTACTCCACGTGGCGTTATTACAATTTGGAGTGTCACACCGGATGTCCTGGCTACGTTCTAATATCTTTCCATTCTGTTGATCGTATTCCGGATACACCACTTTTATTATGTGTGCATGATGACCGTGGATGTGGATCGGGTGCGTTAGGCCATAAGGACTATCGTCTGTGAGGCAAACAAAACAATTTTAAACGTCTTATCGTTCTTGTTTGATTATCTCGTTACAATATTGAAAATATATGCTTTCAATTCTAACGTTTACACTCAACACAATATTCGTTCTTTCGGGGTGGTTGCTGTTGGCTCATTTAAGGAATTGTTTTATTAAATCGTGGAACATTGTTTTTTTTGGAGGATCAATGTCATGTGTATTTGTTATGTGCGAATGGCGACACACGTCAATCATAAAATATGTATGTTTGTATTAAAGCCATTACATCATGCCTACAGTTTAACGGAAAGACGCGAACAATTTCCGAATTGAATAAATTCATGTGTAATAGTTCTTTCATGGGGTTAAGAAGCATGTTAAGATGGAAGGTTCATTCTCAGGACAGCTAGGGTTTAATTTCCCATCTCGTGTTGCGTGTATGATCATTCTTAAATAGTACCAGACACTTATTAAGAATGAAGAGGATAAACTCTCATTAAAGTGAATAACAGTACTATATGTACTAAATGTAGTTCTCTATTTCGCCTTCACTACAGCATAACGTTTTATAACCACAGAAGCGTTATATGTTACACTTACTCATGTTGAGAAGAACTAGTTGGACCGTGTTACCCATGCCCAGTTTGATCACGTGCGTACACGTGCAGTACTTGTCACAGTGCTCCGGACACTCTGTGAACACTCCGTCACCGACAGGGTACGTCTGTTGACACAAGAAAAAGTGAATTCCCTATTATATTATTTTACTTCATCTAGTTACATATTGCTAACAGGCAATATTGGCAGCATTACATGGATTTTAACCATAACTACTAGTAAAAGAACGGAGTACAAGATGACTATTTCGGGAGCTGTCATATAATATTATCATATACATTTGTTGCAAATGAAGATCTATTCATTGATAGTTATGATTTAAGCTCTATCAGCGCGTTATACAAGAGGAGGCTCACCTGGAGTGGTACAGAAGGCCTCACAAAACCCTTGTTGTTGACAGCCGCGGATATAGGTGTTCTACTCCCTATAAGACAATACCAGGCATGTTTAATATGATCTTACAGCATACTTACCTTGTTATATTTAGTTAATGGTCTTTAATTGAAAGTCTTATCATTTCCATTACAATAGAATTAAACATTGTTAAGATTGGGAGAAGGATGTCATCAACTAGTACACAGACTATCACGACATACGATTCAGACTGAATTGTAATAGTTTATCTAAAATACCAGCACGAGGGATTTAAAAACAATATAATCAACTTATCTTAAATAATAGTAACATTCTATGTTCAACGTTTGATCAGAGAGATATGTTTCGTCAAGTGCGAGAGTAGTAGGAAATTGAAGTCATAATATAAACCTAACCTATGTTTAATGAGATACTGCCCTATGTTTATCATATTATTTACACAAACATAACTCCAGTCATAGTTTTGCAGTACATTGTATGAGTCAAACATCGATTTTCTCTTATCCTTAATTTCTTATTCACTTATCCTCAGTTCTCATTCACTTATCCTCAATTTCTCATTCACTTATCCTCAGTTCTCATTCACTTATCCTCAATTTCTCATTCACTTATCCTCAGTTCTCATTCACTTATCCTCAATTTCTCATTCACTTATCCTCAGTTCTCAGACAGAACAATTTCTCATTCACTTATCCTCAGTTCTAAGACAGAACTATTCCACAAATTCTCAAGCTCTAAAAGGTTTGTTTTTCGCATTTCCTCGATTTCTGTAAAGAATTATTTTCATATATCCTCAAATTAAAACAAAATGATAAAATGACTATGTGTGTGTTTCATCTATCTATATATAAGTGCCATTTGTGAACGTGCTTTGACTCGTTGAACATAGCATGTCTTCATGTTTGTATTACTTACTTGCATAAACAAAGTTAAGGAAGAGTTCCTGAAACCTCTCTGTCGAGGTGACAGTAGGTACGGGGTTGATGGTTTGTCCCTCTGGTGTGGCCCTTAGATCCGCCACAGACGTACACTGTATGTTATACTTAGAGCTGTACCTACAACCATGATATAATACTGAGGACACAATGGTTCTGATTATAATATGTATACATAATTGAAAATGATGAACATTTTAATATTTTAAATATTTAACATCGTATTTTAGAACTTTAGTTGGAGTGTTCAAGTAGTCAATAACGTATGTTAACAGTTGATAATTGGAATTGTATACGGTTTCATGAGAAAGCTATCATCGATTCACAGTTAAAACAGCTCATTTGTTAACGTGAGGAGATATTTATTAATTTTATCGTCAACGTTTAACGTTTGTTTATGCATGTTAGATATCCGTAGGGTAGATGATATGATGTTCATTAAAATTTAGATATATCACTCTGACCAATCTCCTGTCATGCTATTTACCTACAGTACTGAGTGCTAAAAATTGTGTTTTTGTTTTGGAATAAAAACGAGGGTAATGTGACGTCTATGGCCCACTTACAGGAATAGGCAGTTGACGACCTTACACGGACTGTTCTTCTCACAGACGGCCTTCTGTGATTGTGGCAGTACAGGATCGGCGTCCTGGTACTGTAGCACGGCTAAGCCTGAGCTAGGGGACGATGTCTGTCAAGTTTAAATTTAAGAATGCTTTACACAAGCATTAAATCATTATTCAAAATATCAAGACAACTTTGAAGTTTTTTAAAAGTAATGCATATAATTCATACACATATTATGATCCGTTGATAAAGATAAATTTCAATAGAGTCAGTCTTTGGTTTGACCCTGTTTTAGTTTATGATGGTTTGCACTCTTTTATACTGCCTGAACAATGTTACTGGTTCTGTTTCCTAACTCTACCTCTCCTTTCAATGGAGTATCCAAGGTTTCTGTGCGTATCCAGTAGGAACCCGGTCGCTGGTCTGCACGGATTATGACGTCAAAACGTTCACCACTATGCACCACAACAGATTCGGCTTCGAATTCTGTGACGTCATTTCCGTCAGTAGATATCACTGTCAAAGGGTGCTATTGATTGAATAAAGATAGTAACATATCAATCTGGAACCGACAGGCAGCGCTTGATAAAGTGGAGCTTAACATATGGGCGCAATGGAGTCTTGTGTTCAGAATTACCAAAAGGTTTTATAAGGAAAATTCCATTCATTAGCACACTCAAGACATTAATAGTGTATATTTTCAGCTATCTAAAATGGACGCAAGCAAACAAACAATACCGCCGAATAATTACCATTTTCAAAGTAAAAGAGAAGTTACCATTAGCCTACATTATAAAACTATTGAAATGCAAATTTCTACGTCGTGAACATTTAGTTCAATGCTTTTAAGCGAAATTATAAAATATTTTACCCAATGAGGATAACCCTCTACATCACAATGACAACCTGTCTTTGCCAGTATGATGTTAAAATATACTTGATTTTTGCCGAGTTCACTGCTTGTTCAATGGAGTTATCAAAGCAGATAATAATCTTTGGCCTAGTATATTGAATTGAGATTAACACCACAACAGACCCATAAAACTGAACGTTATGTTTTATTTAATAATCTGTAATGTTACTTACCTGGTCTACTGACACTCGGAAGGCATAAACCATGGCGGCGTTGATGATACGAAACTGATACACGCCACCAGTTTTTACGGTGAACGATTCGTAAGGTAGTCCACCAATACTTTCGTTGTATCTTCCTGCATGTAAGACATGAAAATAAGTGTTTATTCTCTTATGTCGAATATCCTTGTGACACACACATAATGACTGATATACAACTCATTAAGGTCGTAGGTTCGAACCAAACAGACTTTGGGAAGACGATTACAGGATTGATCAAAAGATCTTTTCAATTCTTCAAAATCCACATTTCATTTACTCACCTTCTGGAGTAACAGTATCACAATCAGACTTTTACACTGATAGCCCTGTAACACTGATAGCCCTGTAGCACTGATAGCCCTATAACCCTGATAGCCCTATAACCCTGATAGCCCTACACCACTGATAGCCCTGTAGCACTGATAGCCCTATAGCCCTGATTTAGTGTGATTAATAGCTTGATTGACCAACAGGTAGGACCGGTGATAAAACGTTGTTTAAAACTATTTCTGTGAAATTTCGAAATCCAATACAAAAAAGGGCAGCTCCTTATCATTACAATAAATGTGTATTCGGCAAGATTAGCTGGTGTATCGTTTGCCGCAAAATTGGAAAATGAATAGATAGGCTTTCTGAATTAGCAAGCAAGCCTAGCTTTATTTTGCAGGAAGCAATATAATTGTGTTTGCAGACAAAGATTAACTTGGTTTGTTTGAAAACAAAACTACATACCTATCTTGCATATCTTTGAGTATGGTCTTGACAACGGGGTCAGTTTATTTTATGTTGGATCACAAGCAGCTAACCCTTTTTGAATGATAGACCTGATAGTTTTAAGCCGCCCAGAGAGTGATTCTACTTCTGCACTCTCTTATAGTGTCCAGTCGGAAGTTCGGGCATCACAAGACGGTCAGCTTAGTTACTGTACGTAAGATATGTAATTAGGACACGACTGACATTGGACTGTCCAGTCGGAAGTTCAGGCATCACAAGACGGTCACCTTAGTTACTGTACGTAAGATATGTAATTAGAAAAGGACTGAAATTGGACTCAGTTATTGGGTATTTCCATCAAGACATAGTTCAATAACATCACGGCCTACCTTTTCCGTTGATAATAGCAGACTCAAATGGAATATCTCCAATTATTTCCCCATTCTGACCATTTCCAGGTTTAGTGCAACCTTCTTTGTCAAGTCCATTGAAGTACCTTGAAATATATAAAATAGTAATACCCTACCGTCAAAACATCAAAAATAATCAAGTAGTTTTCACATCTAATACTAATATGCTGTTTAAATATCAAACTGAACAGTAACTTGATACCATAATCGGTTCTACAGTATAGGTTCACGTGGACCAGAATTAAACAAAAAATATCACATTTGTATGTACATTCACGAACACGATTTGAAGCTCGGTATGATGACTTGCTCTTCAATAGAAAGACAAGGCTAAATTCGTATATTGACTCGAACCAAAGCTGTTATATTCATGCCGACAGCGATCATGTAACGGGTATGTGAACGCAAGAAATTGAAGAACATGTTATTCATACGGGTTAAGATAGGCGTTGCAGTAGCTGGTTGTATACGAACGGGTTAAGATAGGCGCTGCAGTAGCTGGTTGTATACGTACGGGTTGAGATAGGCGTTGCAGTAGCTGGTTGTATACGTACGGGTTAAGATAGGCGCTGCAGTAGCTGGTTGTATATACATACGGGTTAAGATAGGCGTTGCAGTAGCTGGTTGTATACATACGGGTTAAGATAGGCGTTGCAGTAGCTGGTTGTATACTTACGGGTTAAGATAGGCGTTGCAGTAGCTGGTTGTATACTTACGGGTTAAGATAGGCGTTGCAGTAGCTGGTTGTATACGTTCGGGTTGAGATAGGGCTGCAGTAGCTGGTTGTATACGTACGGGTTGAGATAGGCGTTGCAGTAGCTGGTTGTATTCGTACGGGTTAAGATAGGCGTTGCAGTAGCTGGGTGTATACGTACGGGTTAAGATAGGCGTTGCAGGAGCTGGTTGTATACGTTCGGGTTGAGATAGGGCTGCAGTAGCTGGTTGTATACGTACGGGTTAAGATAGGCGTTGCAGTAGCTGGTTGCATACGTACGGGTTAAGATAGGCGCTGAAGTAACTGTAGATGTCCTGACCTGACATATAGAACCAGTCTTGGACGAACAGTATGTACTGTTTATCAACAGTGGCAGTCGCCTGTAATAAATATGGACCACCGAGTCATTGTTTTACAACAGTATTCTCAACAATTGCAAATAGGACAGTGCGCATTGATTATAACACAATTTAGTTTAGTTTTTTATTTGTATAGACATTCGTTTTTACCTGATGAATTCGCATTTATCTAGGTTTTAATGTAGAACACCCTCACCCCTGCCCCCTGCCCCATCGATCTTCTTGACCATCCGTCTTTTCTATTATTGTACACATCTGGACTAGCACAGGATTTGGTTCCTCCACAAGAATAGGACGTTAAGTCAATAGGCCCCTTCCATATCTGATCTTGAAAAAACTGTTCCTATCCCTACACTGGAACGGATTAATGCCACCCTGTCTTTTACCTCTCTCTTTCCTATCTTTCTTATCATACTCATACCATTTGAAAAATATAATATACAACATTTGATTTAGCGCCCTATCTAGTTAACATAAGCCAACACACAGATATACAATTGTATACAATCAATACAATTAGCATATACATTAATCAATACAATATTGAGGAATTCACAGGAGCTGCCTTATCAGGCGCTTACTACTAGTCCTATGCCACCTAGCTAATATCTCCCTATGTGTGTATGCCTGTGTGCTGGAGATATAGTGGTTCTGTGTGTACTGGAACCGTGCTTTCAAATGTATCATTTATAGTGTCACCTCACCTGAATGCTACAGCACAGATACCGCAACACCCACCACAGACCATTTTATACCCCACCTGGGTTGTTGGAGTTGTGTGGGCAGGAGAATAACACTTGTTCTGAATATTCCATGCGTACGACGACTTAAGTCGATATCCTCTAGTGTTTAGCTGAATAGACCCTTCCCCTTCCTCTGTCCTTTATCACTTACGTTATCGGCCCGCACGTTATCCCGAGGGAGGACTATTAGGGGACCGGCGAGACCATCGTTCCTCATCATGCCGTGGTGGGCGTGGTACCACGAAGTTCCTACGTCGTCCGCCATGAACCTGTCAACATAATCAGTTGTAGGTGAGGTGTAGAGAAGATCTACCAATATCTGAAACTCTTTGGCATCAATTTTAAATTAAGATAACTGTTATGAACAAGCCACACCGTCAACGACATTTTCTCTTTATTTGTTTACTGCATTTCTGTTTTGTTTTTTCTACGATTAAGATAGCATACTGACAATCGAAGTGACAAGGCTACGATGTAGTCAGGACAAGGTAAGAGACATATATTACACGGAGTACACAATATTGCAGTGAATGAAGCAAGTGATTTAGAAATGTGTCCTAATACAAGGACAAAACTAAACATTTAACCGATACGACAACTACAGAGACTACGGAGAAACAAACACAGAACAGACAAAGGTATCATAATACCCCCTTAAAACACCAGAACAAACAAAGGAACCATGATACCCCCTTAAAACACCAGAACAAACAACAGTAGCATGATACCACCTTAAAACACCAGAACAAACAAAGGAATCATGAAGCCCCCCTGAAACACCAGAACAAACAAAGGTAGCATGATACCCCCTTAAAACACCAGAACAAACAAAAGTAGCATGATACCTCCTTCAAACACAGAAAAAACAAAGGTATCATGATACCCCCTTAAAACACCGGAACAAACAAAGGTATCATGATACCCCCTTAAAACACCAGAACAAACAAAGGTATCATGAAGCCCCCCTGAAACACCAGAACAAACAAAGGTAGCATGACACCCCCTTAAAACACCAGAACAAACAAAAGTAGCATGATACCTCCTTCAAACACAGAAAAAACAAAGGTATCATGATACCCCCTTAAAACACCAGAACAAAAACAAAATGTATCATGATACCCCTTTAAAACACCAGAACAAACAAAAGAAGCATGATACCTCCTTCAAACACAGAAAAAACAAAGGTATCATGATACCCCCTTAAAACGCCAAAACAAACGAAGGTATCATAATACCCCCTTAAAACACCAGAACAAACAACAGTATCATGATACCACCTTAAACCACCAGAACAAACAAAGGTATCATGAAGCCCCCCTGAAACACCAGAACAAACAAAGGTAGCACGATACCCCCTTAAAACACCAGAACAAACAAAAGAAGCATGATACCTCCTTCAAACACAGAAAAAACAAAATGTATCATGATACCCCTTTAAAACACCAGAACAAACAAAGGTAGCATGATGCCCCCTTAAAACACCGGAACACACAAAATGTATCATGATACATCCTTAAAACACCAAAACAGACAAAGGCATCATGATACCCCCTTCAAACGCCGGAACAGACAAAGGTATCATAATACCCCCTTAAAACGCCAGAACAAACAAAATGTATCATGATCCCCCCTTAAAACACCACAACAAACAAAGGTATCATGAAGCCCCGCCTGAAACAGCGGAACGAACAAAATGTATCATTATACCCCCTTAAAACACGAGAACAAACAAAGGTACCATGATACCCCCTTAAATCAGCAAAACAGACAAAGGTATCATAATACCCCCTTAAAACGCCAGAACAAACAAAATGTATCATGATCCCCCCTTAAAACACCTGAACAAACAAAGGTACCATGATACCCCCTTAAATCAGCAAAACAGACAAAGGAATCATGATACCTCCTTCAATCACAGAAAAAACAAAAGTATCATGATGCCCCCCTGAAACACCAGAACAAAAAAAGGTATCATGAAGCCCCGCCTGAAACAGCGGAACGAACAAAATGTATCATGATCCCCCCTTAAAACAGCAAAACAAACAAAGGTATCATGATGCCTTTGTTTGTTTTGCTGTTTTAAGGGGGTAACATGCTACCTTTGTTGGTTCTGGGGTTTTAAAGGGGCATCATGATAGTTTTGTTTTTTCTGTGTTTGAAGGAGGTCTCATGCTTCTTTTGTTTGTTCTGGCGTTTTAAGGGGGTATTATGATACCTTCGTTTGTTTTGGTCTTTGAAGGAGGTATCATGATCCCTTTGTCTGTTTTGCTGATTTAAGGGGGTATCATGTTACATTTGTTTGTTGTGGTGTTTTAAGGGGGCCTCATGATACCTTTGTCTGTTCTGGTGTTTGAAGGGGGTATCATGATACCTCCTTCAAACACAGAAAAAACAAAAGTATCATGATGCCCCCTTAAAACACCTGAACAAACAAAGGTATCATAATACCCCCTTAAAACACGAGAACAAACAAAGGTATCATAATACCCCCTTAAAACAGCAAAACAAACAAAGATATCATGATACCTCCTGAAAACACCAAAACAGACAAAGGGATCATGATACCCCCTTCAAACACCAGAACAAAAACAAAATGTATCATGATCCCCCTTTAAAACACCAGAACAAACAAAGGTATCATGTTACCTCCTTCAAACACAGAAAAAACAAAATGTATCATTATACCCCCTTAAAACGCCAGAACAAACAAAAGAAGCATGAGACCTCCTTCAAACACCAAAACAGACAAAGGAATCATGATACCTTTGTTCTGGTGTTCCAAGGGGGTATCAGGTGTTTGAAGGAGGTCTCATGCTTCTTTTGTTTGTTCTGGTTTTTTAAGGGGGCTTCATGATACCCTTGTTTGTTCTGGTGGTTTAAGGGGGTATCATGGTACCTTTGTTTGTTCCGGTGTTCCAGGGGGGGCTTCATGATTCCTTTGTCTGTTTTGCTGATTTAAGGGGGTATCATGCTTCCTTTGTTTGTTCTGGGGTTTTAAAGGGGCATCATGATAGTTTTGTTTTTTCTGTGATTGAAGGAGGTATCATGATTCCCCCTTGGAACACCAGAACAAAGTTATCATGATACCTCCTTAAAACACCACAACAAACAAAGGTATCATAATACCCCCTTAAAACGCCAGAACAAACAAAATGTATCATTATACCCCCTTAAAACGCCAGAACAAACAAAATGTATCATGATACATTTTGTTCGTTCCGCTGTTTCAGGCGGGGCTTCATGATACCCTTGTTTGTTCTGGTGCTTCAGGGGGGCTTCATGATTCCTTTGTCTGTTTTGCTGATTTAAGGGGGTATCATGTTACATTTGTTTGTTGTGGTGTTTTAAGGAGGTATCATGATTCCCCCTTGGAACACCCGAACAAACAAAGGTACCATGATACCCCCTTAAAAAACCAGAACAAACAAAGGTATCATGATACCCCCTTCAAACACCAAAACAGACAAAGGTATCATGATACCCCCTTTAAACACCAAAACAAACAAAGATATCATGATACCTCCTTCAAACACCAAAACAAACGAAGGTATCATAAAGCCCCCATGAAACACCAAAACCAACAAAGGTATCATGATACTCCCTTAAAACACCAGAACAAACAAAGGTATCATGATACCCCCTTTAATCACCAGAACTGAATCATATTCGACCGAGCGTTGTCTCCTGTCACAAATGCGGTACTACGCATCATTCTAACGATTGGCAATAAGATCCTGATGACGATTATTACAGATCGTCAGCAGAGATCGTATTATCTCCGGTGGATAGACACACTTTTGAAATATGTGCTTCCTCACTTCGAATGTCTAGCAATTCTTTTATTTAAGAAGGTAGCTGACATTTAAATGTTCTTAGAAACTTCCCACGCAGCGTAGGTCCAAGGAAATAATGCAATACTAAATGTTAATATACACATATAACAGACAACTAATGTGACATATTGTGAAAGCTTGTAGCAAGCTTATAGTACATGTGTCCTTATTATATTTAACCTTAAAAAACCGGGCTATAATGATAACCAGCATGTGATGTATGTCGTTACCTGTATACAAACGTGCTGTGTGGGTCTATGGGGCACTGGGAGATAGAGCCCGTCCCATCCATCCAGGGGGTGCCCTTCTGGGTAAGGCCGTGCCAGTGTATAGTAACACCATCGGACAGCAGCTTATTATGTACATGTACTACGACCTGTGAGAAAATAACAGCCCTGTGAACTTTCATAAAGCGAAGTGGAGACGTCGGGAAGTGAAATTAGTGGAATATTGCATAGCAAGAAGTTATTAGAACACACCTATGGAAATAATGCTGTACATTTTGGAATAGAAAAATCTTCATAATACCGTTAAGCTATATTTCTAACTTGACTTGTCAGTATACATATCATTAACATAATGTAAATATAATTATTTTATTTTCAACACAAGATTACGATGAATGCTCAATGCTTATAGAAAAACACATATATGTTATCAATTAAAAGTTCGCTTATCCCTGACCAATGTCTGAGCTGTCCGTGTACCTGTTGACCTTGGTAGACTACTACAGGAGGTCCGGGCACCTGTTGGTTTATGGCGTACACCGATTTGTACCGTCCGTCTGCTGTCGTTACGTTCTGTAGCTCTGAAGCAAACCTCATGGATTTAATACATAATTAATTACCAATAGTGGCATCATCGTTTTTTTCTGAAATTAATGTAACAATGATATTCAATTAAAGTGACATTCTGTTGTTCTTCAATAAATGATGTCATACTTTACAAAAGAGATGTTCGGGAGTATTGTTGCAAATGTCTCTTCATCGCCAGTCTTCTCTAAAAACGATAACCGTTGATGTTTTTAATATCGATACTATTATTTAATATAATGACGTGATTGTGTGTCGTTGTACTTAGTTATGTAAACTGTACGTCACATATCTATTTTTATGTTTATGTTATAATTATTAAAATAATGACAAGAACATTTTAATTCTGCTTACATAAAAGCTAAAGGGATATCTTGTACATATAAAAGGTAAACGGTAACCTAATAATAAAAGCCAATTTGGCTCGGCTGTGTTCTAGATAGAGTCATTGTTAAGTCGCTAACTTGATATAAATTGATCTGGAGACGTGTGGTAACGGAATTAAGTGGTATGGCGATGGAATGACGAATACGCAATGAGAGCAAATGTATTAAAAACTAACGAGATAGTATTTGAAACAAACTCTTCCTTAATCATCAGACTATAATAATGGAATGTTAATACTTCTTGTTCATATAACAACATCAAGGTATGCAAACAACATAAACCTTGCAATGAAAACTAAATATCTACTGACAAGTCAGTTTAGTGTGTTAAAGCAGCGAATAATATGTAACGTTGCTATTCTTAACATTGACGGCATTACTCCCTAGGTATATGTGTAAGGTTACTATTAGGGCGTCGCTGTTTCTAAAATGACGACATTATTCCCTAGGTTTATAAAAGAATCATAAAACTTTATGACTCAGATGTAAATGGAAACTGTGACGGTGTTTTGTAACCTCAACCTCTCAATTTCGATACTAAGTGCACACGCAATCAGGTATCAGTCTCGTGACATGCTGCCTTAACGTCTCGTGATGCGTGACCAGTAATGAGTTTTTTTCCTAATAGACATATGGTCCAGTTGTAACTTGATCCCATCGTCATGTGAGAATAAATCATCACATGACCTTTAAATATTTACATTTTTCTTTGCGATATTCTTAGCGCTCCGGTACAGTGTACCAGAAAGTCAACATGAACATGAGTGCGGTTTTAGTGATATCTGTAACAGAAAACAAAGCTAACTAGAATATCTTGATATGGCAGTATACTATGGCACCGGATGTACTGAATATAGGCTACTGGAGATACAAGTGAAAACTAATTTGTGTATTTTTAAGATTTTCGAAGCCACTATTATACTGGGTTTAGACTTGAATTGGCATTGCTGTTTGCTGATTCGGGCTCTCACTGTAGCCGACATTGTTTGAGTTGTAAAGAAATTAAATGTATACAAAGTTTTAAGAGACCTGTGCCATATGTATAGCCTCCCTTCAATACTGTATCGTCATTTATCAGAAAATAACATCAGATGTGAAATAGTATGAATGCTTTGTTTACAGTTTTGCCTATCACAGTGACCAATAATACCGGTTGACTTGCTTTACGTTATAACGCAAATACAACAGACTTAAAAGAACAATAGTATTTGACTTTTTGACCTGCGATCTTTGATTTTGTTGTTGTTGACATTTTGTTAATTTTAAATTGTTCATAGGTGTGAAAACAAGTCATATTGATAAATGATAATAGCAAATTTGAATTTTGACCTTTGGTGATCTATATTTTGATATTTAGTATAACTACATTGAAACATTGATGTAAAACATGTATTAGTACAGAACATGTTAGCGGGGGTTAACTATGCAACAGTTCAGCAAAAGACATACTATCCTAGACAGCTACGTGACCTTTAACCTCTTGTTACTGGACGTTCGTAAACTAACACACACACAGGCATGACGTACAAATTTAAAGATAGTATCAGAAGAACTCGTGAAACACACATATCCTTTGTTAAATGTATAAAGAAAGAAACCTAACTGACAGAGATGTTACGGGAGAGCCCTAACAAAAGTAGCACTAATATATTCCGTACTGACTTCATACAAAGTATGTACAGACGTGTGTACATTATTACTCTAAAATAGATGTGCCACGTGCGTTTTAACCCACTTTATTTCTTACAAATACAAACAACTGCCCATACCTTCGTCCGATATAGGTTCGAGAGTGTTGCATGATGTCCGTTTGTAAAGCGTTTCGTTTACAAGGACAACTGGTTCACCTACGTGACTGTCTCTTTTAAAGTAAACCATGGTTTCCTTGTAGTCTATTGTCCAGTGAAATTCGCATAAATCCTCTTCTGGTCCACAACTCGGGACTACTTCCTTTTCAAAAGCAACACCGCTGACCGCTACCACCAAGTATAGGAGGTATATCGGTGTCACCATAGTGTGCCTGTAAAGTATATTATACCGGTGTCACCATAGTGTTCCTGTAAAGTATATTATATCGGTGTCACCATAGTGTTCCTGTAAAGTATATTTTACCGGTGTCACCATAGTGTGCCTGTAAAGTATATTATATCGGTGTCACCATAGTGTGCCTGTAAAGTATATTATATCGGTGTCACCATAATGATTTGCTGTGAGCAAAGCTGTAAGGAAAAGTATGTTAATCGTATCGTCTGACAAATTAAGACTTGAATTCCAATTCATAAAAAAACCCAAAACACACCCGTATGTACATGAATCCCGTTATAGTCTTGAAATGTATATTAAAACACACTAAACTTAGAAACTGATTCAGGTAAAAAAAGGCATACTCTAAAATCTCAAAAAATAGTACGGATTTCCTTGCTTTTTTCGTTGCCATTTAGACGTAAACGTGTGTACTACTTTTTAAATACTGTGTTACTTTCGTGATCACCTGTGTCATCTTGCGTTTCTGTCAGTTGTTTTAATTGAAAGCTGATAATATGTAATAAGGTATTATGTGAGATCTATGAGGATTTTTTATTTTTTTATTTCAAAATAATATTTTTTAAATATTTTGTAGTTTCTTATTTTTGATGCCGGTTCACTTTTGGGATAACCTGTGTCATCTATCGCTTATTTAGTTGCTTTGGTTTTAGATACCAACATACATATTGTAGAAATTACCGAAGCGTCCCAAATAATCTTTTTGTGCAAGTTAAACCTTTATACAACCAGTACTTACCAACCTGTTGAGAAAAACTTTGTATTTTATTTGAAATTATCAAGTAGATTGTAAAATTGTCTAGTATTGTGTTATAAATTCGAAATAAATATACAAAAAATGTAATTGAATTATGAGTATAAAGTGCTGATTTAATTTTTCTATTATGATATTTAAGTTAATGTAAGTTGCGATGTTACTGAAAATGATATGATAGCTTGTACAGTACATTTAAAATATTTTGTAATGAGTGTGTGTTTGCTGATATTGATTGCCTTTTCATCTTTGCTATTCGCTCCAAAACCTTGCTAAGTTTTGATATACGAGATGCATGCAAAATGCGAAGACAAAGTGTACTTTATGACACCACCAGGTAACAGATCTGACGGGTAAAGCTCCAGGTATGTCTTGTCTTTTTATAGTAACATTTGTTTTTGTTATAAAAAGTTGAATTGGAGAACACGCTGATGTTTCGTTGAGATATATTTTACTTCTAATTAATACAAATCATATTTTCAAAGCCAGGTCGTTTTTAAAGCCAGCTAATATTCGTGATATATTTTACTGCAAATGTATCTATGCTTATTTTCAAAATCGACTAATTTTTTATTTTTTATTTGATCTCTTTTCGGCGTTTGGGGAAAAACAATGTTTTATTGTTTTCCGTTTTTGGAGGAAACAAGATATTAGTATATAATCTTGTAATTTATGGGTTGAATTCTTGCAAGTTCTTAATACGTGGAACATATACTGTACCCAGTTTAAAATAAATATTAACATATGTAATCCTTCAAGGTACTCAGCTTTTCTAGTCGTAAAAACAAATAGTAGCATTTTCCTAAGACCATATTGACATGCCGCTATATTCCAACAATGCAAAACATATGTTGTGCAAACTTTGCGAAAGGATCTTCATGTCGTTTCATAAAAAGATCAGGTCTGGGTAGATTCCGGGAAATAGAACATTGTGTAATCATGATTTACAAACAGATAGACCCTGCTTTTGTGTAAATTTAAAATGGTCCCCCTTTCCGTATCAGACGAATTCTTATTAATTTAGTTTCATTAGCGATTCTTCAAACCAAACAGGTCCAAAAGAAAATGGAGGATAAAATGAAACACATATCTTAGTAAGTAGGACGAAATACGGCAGGGGTCGATGTTGAGCCCTATGAAACGACATATATAACTGAGCTCAGAAGTTATAGAAAGTATCTCATTCAAAATTAAAAGGTGAAATAGAGAAACAGTTACCATTGTATGAATAATATGTATATATTTGTGTGTTTAAACTTACGTTTAGGGAGGACAAACAACACAGACGGTCCGGTAATCCCGACTATAGATCAGATGTGCGTCTGCCGACCCCGCAGTAGATGTACACATACGCAATAGAAAGACACAGACACGAGATGTTGTTTTTTTCTGTTAAAAAACTCTTTATCACGTGGACACGTCATTAACGTGTCTTAAAATTATTTAAATAAACTAACATCAATCATGTGATTATGAAGAATAGAATACACGCAGCATGTGAAAAAGGACATGTTATGGTCCAAAACATCATATAATACATCTTAATAGTTTACCTGTCGCTGTGACTATATATAGAATAAGTTTAGAACAAGGAAATAAGAAAGCAACTATAGATATTAAGTTGATTCAGAAAACCACACAATGTTAACAATTTCCGGCGCCTGATATCCATTTCGTCCATTTAGGTCTCAGCAATGGTACTAGAGGTCAAAAGGTTAAGCAATGTCTAAAGTGTTTCGAAATGTACGTATATTACAGCGGGAGGGGAAACGTGCCTGTCCCTTATAACGTTACAAATTAACGTTACAGACTTTTGAAAAAAACAGGAAATCCATACTAAACTAGTTTTTTATGTAAACTGACTGTGCATACTAAATTCCCGCTACAAGGTCACAGCTAACCTCGGGGACCAATTGTTCACCAGCATTGCTTCAGAGTAAATAATCTTGTTACCTAAAACAAATACCAGGAATACCAAGGACGGAGGCACCGACTATAGATGTAGGTGTAGAGAGTCAACCATGGTATCAATATTACTTCCACATATGAATGTTTTAGCCATAGGTTAAAAGAAAAATAAGATGTAAACATGTGTCGTGAAATTTACTAATTAACAGCAAAAGGAACGGTATGGTCACACCTTTTGGCTACAACAGGTAACAGTCAATTAAAACTAAGGAAGTCTTTCATGTTTAGTGCTAGCAAAAGAGGATAGGCACACATCACATGAAAATGTTTCTAAGATGGGTCACTTTCCAGTAGCAAAAGGAGGCTCGGAAGTCAAGTTATTGACTATATTACCAAACAATGTGAAATATAATAAAACCATGTGCAATATGACATCGATGATATGGACTTGACAAAAATTGTTGATCAATGTATTATATAGTCAGATGAGCCTCCTCCCTAGTACACCGACAGTAGTCTGGTAGACTGTTACTCAGCCATCCCCTATATATTGGAGGCCTTTATCATCATACCACACACACATGGCTATATAGAGTGTAAACAATGAGCCTACAAACATGTCATTATAGCTATAAATTGTAAAAACAAATATGTTTATCTTTCAGATTTGTGATAAGTATTGCAAGGGTTCTTTCAAAAGAAGTTGAGGGAAAGGGGTATCAAATACAATTCAAATAATATTGATATTATTCTCAAATATTGTATTTCTCTAATACTGTTATCAATCAAATAATTTCTTACAAACAAATGGGGTTTACCTTCACTGCGAATGGAAAACGGACTGACATGTTTCTGATATCTGTGAACACAGAGTAGACATGTTTCTGATTTCTGTGAACACGGAGTAGATATCTGTGAACCCGGACTGACATGTTTCTGATATCTGTTAACACGGAGTAGACATGTTTCTAATATCTGTAAACATGGAGTAGACATGTATCTGATATGTGTAAACACGGAGTAGACATGTTTCCGATATCTGTGAACACGGACTGATATGTTTCTGATATCTGTGAATACAGATTAGACATGTTTCTGATATCTGGGAACACAGAGTAGACATGGTTCTGATATCTGTGAACACGGAGTAGACATGTTTCTGATATCTGTGAACCCGGACTGAATTGTTTCTGATATCTGTGAACACGGAGTAGACATGTTTCTGATATCTGTGAACACGGAGTAGACATGTTTCTGATATCTGTGAACACGGAGTAGACATGTTTCTGATATCTGTGAACACGGAGTAGACATGTTTCTGATATCTGTGAACACAGATTAGACATGTTTCTGATATCTGTGAACACAGACTGACATGTTTCTGATATCTGTGAACACGGAGTAGACATGTTTCTGATATCTGTGAACACGGAGTAGACATGTTTCTGATATCTGTGAACACGGAGTAGACATGTTTCTGATATCTGTGAACACGGAGTAGACATGTTTCTGATATCTGTGAACACGGAGTAGACATGTTTCTGATATCTGTGAACACGGAGTAGACATGTTTCTGATATCTGTGAACACGGAGTAGACATGTTTCTGATATCTGTGAACACGGAGTAGACATGTTTCTGATATCTGTGAACACGGAGTAGACATGTTTCTGATATCTGTGAACACGGAGTAGACATGTTTCTGATATCTGTGAACACGGAGTAGACATGTTTCTGATATCTGTGAACACGGAGTAGACATGTTTCTGATATCTGTGAACACGGAGTAGACATGTTTCTGATATCTGTGAACACGGAGTAGACATGTTTCTGATATCTGTGAACACGGAGTAGACATGTTTCTGATATCTGTGAACACGGAGTAGACATGTTTCTGATATCTGTGAACACGGAGTAGACATGTTTCTGATATCTGTGAACACGGAGTAGACATGTTTCTGATATCTGTGAACACGGAGTAGACATGTTTCTGATATCTGTGAACACGGAGTAGACATGTTTCTGATATCTGTGAACACGGAGTAGACATGTTTCTGATATCTGTGAACACGGAGTAGACATGTTTCTGATATCTGTGAACACGGAGTAGACATGTTTCTGATATCTGTGAACACGGAGTAGACATGTTTCTGATATCTGTGAACACGGAGTAGACATGTTTCTGATATCTGTGAACACGGAGTAGACATGTTTCTGATATCTGTGAACACGGAGTAGACATGTTTCTGATATCTGTGAACACGGAGTAGACATGTTTCTGATATCTGTGAACACGGAGTAGACATGTTTCTGATATCTGTGAACACGGAGTAGACATGTTTCTGATATCTGTGAACACGGAGTAGACATGTTTCTGATATCTGTGAACACGGAGTAGACATGTTTCTGATATCTGTGAACACGGAGTAGACATGTTTCTGATATCTGTGAACACGGAGTAGACATGTTTCTGATATCTGTGAACACGGAGTAGACATGTTTCTGATATCTGTGAACACGGAGTAGACATGTTTCTGATATCTGTGAACACGGAGTAGACATGTTTCTGATATCTGTGAACACGGAGTAGACATGTTTCTGATATCTGTGAACACGGAGTAGACATGTTTCTGATATCTGTGAACACGGAGTAGACATGTTTCTGATATCTGTGAACACGGAGTAGACATGTTTCTGATATCTGTGAACACGGAGTAGACATGTTTCTGATATCTGTGAACACGGAGTAGACATGTTTCTGATATCTGTGAACACGGAGTAGACATGTTTCTGATATCTGTGAACACGGAGTAGACATGTTTCTGATATCTGTGAACACGGAGTAGACATGTTTCTGATATCTGTGAACACGGAGTAGACATGTTTCTGATATCTGTGAACACGGAGTAGACATGTTTCTGATATCTGTGAACACGGAGTAGACATGTTTCTGATATCTGTGAACACGGAGTAGACATGTTTCTGATATCTGTGAACACGGAGTAGACATGTTTCTGATATCTGTGAACACGGAGTAGACATGTTTCTGATATCTGTGAACACGGAGTAGACATGTTTCTGATATCTGTGAACACGGAGTAGACATGTTTCTGATATCTGTGAACACGGAGTAGACATGTTTCTGATATCTGTGAACACGGAGTAGACATGTTTCTGATATCTGTGAACACGGAGTAGACATGTTTCTGATATCTGTGAACACGGAGTAGACATGTTTCTGATATCTGTGAACACGGAGTAGACATGTTTCTGATATCTGTGAACACGGAGTAGACATGTTTCTGATATCTGTGAACACGGAGTAGACATGTTTCTGATATCTGTGAACACGGAGTAGACATGTTTCTGATATCTGTGAACACGGAGTAGACATGTTTCTGATATCTGTGAACACGGAGTAGACATGTTTCTGATATCTGTGAACACGGAGTAGACATGTTTCTGATATCTGTGAACACGGAGTAGACATGTTTCTGATATCTGTGAACACGGAGTAGACATGTTTCTGATATCTGTGAACACGGAGTAGACATGTTTCTGATATCTGTGAACACGGAGTAGACATGTTTCTGATATCTGTGAACACGGAGTAGACATGTTTCTGATATCTGTGAACACGGAGTAGACATGTTTCTGATATCTGTGAACACGGAGTAGACATGTTTCTGATATCTGTGAACACGGAGTAGACATGTTTCTGATATCTGTGAACACGGAGTAGACATGTTTCTGATATCTGTGAACACGGAGTAGACATGTTTCTGATATCTGTGAACACGGAGTAGACATGTTTCTGATATCTGTGAACACGGAGTAGACATGTTTCTGATATCTGTGAACACGGAGTAGACATGTTTCTGATATCTGTGAACACGGAGTAGACATGTTTCTGATATCTGTGAACACGGAGTAGACATGTTTCTGATATCTGTGAACACGGAGTAGACATGTTTCTGATATCTGTGAACACGGAGTAGACATGTTTCTGATATCTGTGAACACGGAGTAGACATGTTTCTGATATCTGTGAACACGGAGTAGACATGTTTCTGATATCTGTGAACACGGAGTAGACATGTTTCTGATATCTGTGAACACGGAGTAGACATGTTTCTGATATCTGTGAACACGGAGTAGACATGTTTCTGATATCTGTGAACACGGAGTAGACATGTTTCTGATATCTGTGAACACGGAGTAGACATGTTTCTGATATCTGTGAACACGGAGTAGACATGTTTCTGATATCTGTGAACACGGAGTAGACATGTTTCTGATATCTGTGAACACGGAGTAGACATGTTTCTGATATCTGTGAACACAGACTGACATTTTTCTGATATCTGTGAACACGGACTGACATGGTTCTGATATCTTTGAACACGGAGTAGATATGTTTCTGATATCTGGGAATACGGAGTAGACATGTGTCTGATATCTGTGAATGTTTCTGATATCTTTTAACACGGAGTAGACATGTATCTGATATCTGTAAACACGGAGTAGACATGTATCTGATATCTGTAAACACGGAGTAGACATGTATCTGATATCTGTAAACACGGAGTAGACATG